TTGTTAACTCTCATGTTTTTTATTCAGAAGTAAAGAGAAAAAAAATTAATTTTCTCAAGTAAATTTACTTGCCACAAGTAAATGTATATAAAAACAAAATTTAATATTTAATATTTATTTATAAAAATATTTGCATTTGCAATGTGTGGATTTTCTTGTAGTTAGTAAATTTACTTGGTAAAGTAATCTTTTTTCTCAGTGCACAGTCCCTCATAATCAGGTTTATTATCGAGGAATAAATTCAGCGATTGATTTATTGAGTTATTGACATTGAGAGGACCCCTTTTGTTGATTTGCCAAAAAGATAACTCGTGAATTTAAATTATTGATTAAATAATTTCCCAGTTGCTTCTTTAGATTAACAAGTCCATTATTAGAAAGAGACATGTTGTTGAGTTATTAATTGAACTATAACTGGACGTAATCAGGTTTATTCTCGGTGGGGAGTAGACTTTTTATGTATTTTTTTTACATTTCTGTAACAGGAGTAAATTCTCGAGTTTATTCATTGCGTTATTGACATTGAGAGGAATTAATTTCGTGGATTAATGGACATGGCGATTGTGAAGTACATTATTGTTGACTGTTTTTCATGTTTTTTATTCAGGTTTATTGCAGGGGAATAAATTCAGCGATTCATTTATGGAGTTATTGACATTGGAACAAACGCCTTTTGTTGATTAGTCAAAGATGAATTTTTCTCTTGAATTTAAATTATTTTCTAAATAATTTCTCAGTTGCTCCTAATGTTAGATGAACAATTCACTTATAAGAAACAGGCGTCTTGTTGAATTATTAACTGAACTGTAACTGGACATAATCAGATCAATTCTGGATGGCGAGTAGACTTTTTATTTAGTTTTTTTTCTTAATATATGCGACGGGAATAAATTCAGTGATTGATTTATGAATTTATTGACATTGAAAGAAACGCGATTTATTGATTTGCCAAAGATATCTCTTGAATTTAAATTATTTACTAAATGATTTCCCAACTGCTTCTGTTAGGTGGACAATTGCTTTATTATAAACAAGCTGCTTGTTGAATTATTAATTGAACTGTAACTGGACATAATCAGGTCTATTCTGGATGGCAAGTAGACTTTTTATATTGTTTTTTTCTTAAACATAAGCGACGGGAATAAATTCAACGACTGATTTATGAAGTTATTGACATTGAGAAAGACTTCTTTCGTTGATTTATCAAAAAGATAACTCTGCAATGTATATTATTTCCAACATCCCAGTTGTTTCTGACGGCTTTGACGCACGACCAAAGTTGGCCGAGCAATATAATATAAACCCTCGTAAATCTCCGAAATGAAGCAATTAAAGCTCCGAATCTCTGCGATTTGATGACTGATCAGGTTTTTGATTAAAGGGAGACCGCGGTGAAATCGATAAATCAATGCGGAGGCAGTAAACGAAAGAAAAATTTCATCAATATTTCGAATCGATTGTAGTCGTAATTTTTCTCACTTTTTTAAATGTTCATATATCATAAGCCGCTCGGTTGGTACGTCCCAGCGCCAACGAAGGCTTTGAGATTTCACCGCGGTCTCCCCTTAGTGACGAAATCAGTATTTTTTATATTGTTTTAAAATATGAATCACGGGAGTGAATCATCAGTCCATTAATTGCGTTATTGTCATTGGAAAAAGCTTATTCTGTTGACTCATTTAAATACTGTGACATACACCATTTTAACATGATGTCCCAGTTGCTTCTGATGTTTTTGATTCACGAGTTATGTTGGCCCAGTAATATAAACCTTCATAAACCTCCAAATGAAGCAATTAAAACTGTGAATCTCGCCCATTCAATGATTGCAATCAAATTTCTGATTAATTACGAAATAATTTTTCAAATATTTTTTATTCATTTATCTCTTTGGGGTTACAAACGTTTTCTTTGTTTTACACCTACATATGCCTCCTCCTCTCCTTAATCATTGAATAACGTAAATTAAGTAAGATTTCTTCTAAATTCTTATTTTAATTTCAAGTCGAAATCAGTTTTTTTTTCCTATTGTTTCAAAATTTGAATCACCGGAATAAATTCATCAGTCCATTTATTGCGTTATTGGGATAGAAAAGATCTTGTTCTGTTGATTCATTAAAGTAGTGTGGCGTACATGATTTTTAAAAATTTCTCCGTTGATTCTGATGTTTTTGAGTCACGAGTAATGTGGCCTTCCAAATGAAGCAATTATAATTATTGTTGAACCTCCAAATGAAGCACTTAAACCTCCGAATCTCGTTCGTTTAATGACTATAATCAAATTTCTGATTAATTACGAAGTCAGTTTTTCTGAATCACAGGAATGAATTCATCAGTCCTTTTATTACGTTATTGACATCGAAAAAATCTTATTCTGTTGATTCAGTAAAATACTGTGACGTAAACCATTTTCATCATGATGTCCCAATTAAATTGATGTCCCTGTTAAAAAATTTTGGGGGAAATTTCCGGCACACTTCTTGGGCACTTTCATCGCACTATAAATCTACTAAATTTTATTATTTACAAATTGCACACTGTTAAAAATTTTCGTCTGAATTTTCGGTGTCAAATCCCGGAAATTTTTATCGTGTTTAATTTCCACTGAATTTTCAGGAAATCTCGTCATTAAAAAATCAAATATTCCATCGATTTTCTGTTTGAATGATGCGAAAATCACTAAAATACTTGATTTTTCAGTTCAATTATTCCGCGAAAATTAGGAAAAATCAGAAAAATTCAAGAAAAAATTGAAAATTCAGTCAAATTGTGAAATTTTCGGCTCACTCCCACCGAAAACTCATTAATTTCCTGGCCTTCTCCCTAAAACATGAGACTTCATAACAATTTTCACTCTAAATCGGATTCACCATCGTTCTCATAAGAATTACCATCATATTTTCCATGAAGTTTCCAACAGTGAACCCCGGAACCGTCAGACCCCATCAGTCCCTCGAAATAAAAAACTCAACTCCGTCGATTTATCAAATTCATGACCCTTCCGCCGTCCCGCAACCGCCTTATTCCCACCATGCCCCGTGTTCTTGATTCACGATTAAACTCACTCGAGAACAGTTCCCCAAAAACCCCCACAAATTCCAGAACTCCCGCCTGCCTATCTCTCCCGCGAATTATCGTAAAAATCCCCAGCTGATAACACTTCCACCTTCAACCGTGACGTATCAATCTCCAATATTCGTGGAACAGAGGGACTGATTTCCTGGCATCAAGATGCCTTGTAAATCGTCATCAACACAGCTGTTTTTCCCCAGCAATACGAGAATTATGCCAAAGAAATTCCCTTTACTCCGTCTCACTCTTATCTGCGTCATCGCGAGGCACGAGTTAACGGGGAATGACACTGAGTATATGACAACGTGTACGCATCAGTCCACTGGTAGTTGGAAGTTCATCATCGCTGGGTGGAAAGTCCTTTTTAGCTCGTGTATGTGGAGTTTCTCGACTACAAACCCATTGACTTTGATACCGATGTATTTGTGTGATTCCACGGTTTTACGTAATAACCGAAGGCATCACGCGAACTTGAGTGTGTTTCGTGCTTATAACGGCGGTACGAGCGGGGCAATACAGGCAGTCGCGGGTTATTGGAGGCGAGACAGGTCGAATCTAAAGTGGAACACTTGGAGTTTCGTCGGCAATCGTTTGCGATTTATCAGCTCGACTTTTTTGGATTGGATTGATGAGTTGTTGCGGGACTTGGTGAGCGTAACGTGGACAAGTGGCGGGAAGAGGAAGTGAAGAGGGAGATCTAGACTGAGAGGCGTCTCGCATTGGCCGAGGGGTCGAGGATGCGGGTGACTTGGACGGATTAGTCAGGATTTTAGTTAAAAAATTTGGAAGCACAGAGATCATGCAGGACACTGAGAGGATCATTCCGACTATCGTCTGCACGAAAGCCAGTTTTAACGACTGCGGCAGTCATCATGAGGATGACAGTGCCGGCGATAAGAGGATGATGAAGCAGAGGAGAATCGCCAGGCCGAGGGTCAGGAGGAACTCCAGGAGGCTCTCCATCACTATTGACAGGCACTCGTCGTCCTCCAGGAGTCCCTCGCCCATTCCTCATCCTCGGGTGGACAAGATTCAGGGGACCATCGGGAAAGCGCAGAGGCCCAAGGCCTCTCTTGGGGCCCAATCCGTGATGAATGGGGATTGGGGGAAGTGCTCGGGGTACAGGCAGTACGCACAACTTTTGGATGTGCCGCAGGTGTTTTCGTCGTCGATCGAGTGGGGCGAACCCAGTGGTGATGACCTCAGCTCCGAGTGGGAGTCCGATCAGTCGGACGGGAAATCGATAGCCGTCGGTAGCGATTGTTGTTTGCCAAAGGTAAATCGCTCGCTGGGAGGAGTTTGAGGATTTTTTGATTACGAATTGAAGCATTGCAATCCTGCGATTTTCGCATTCTAGGATTTTTATTGGAAATTATGTGGAATAGTCTGAAACGTAAACACACGAAGGTTGGCGGTCATGGCTGTTGTGATCGCGTCCACCGTGCCATTCTCGGTGGTCAATTTTTAGGAAATTGAGGAATTGAGTGGCTAAAGTAATTTTGAAAAATCTGAAATTTTGTCGGATTGTAGGTCGTAGTGAGGACTGACTCTGTGCAAAATTTCAGCTCGATCGATATCATAGTTTTGAAGAAAGAGCGATTTGCTTTTAAATCGTTTTCCCCAAATATCTGGAAAACTAGTGAACCGATTTTGATTTTTTTGGTTTTAAAATATTTGTTTCGATGCCTTCTATCGAAATGAATCAAAACATTTATACCCGTTCATACAAAGTTCTCGAGATATTCGCGATTTGCTGTTTTTTTATATAAAAAAAACTTTGTAAACACTTAGCTTGTGCAAAAATGGAGATATCAACTTGTTTTTACCCGCGGGTTTTTATTGATTTTGTATTTTGGGGTTTGAAAGTTTGAGGAGTAATTTTGGGTTTTGAGAAGCGCCTAATTTTGGTTTTTTGGGTTTTGTTGCAGAGCTCTGGGTGGAGAAAACTGAGGAACATTGTACAGTGGACACCCTTTTTCCAGACTTATAAGAAACATCGGTATCCGTGGGTAAGTGGAAATTTGTAACTATTGACTATTGATCAAATATTTCTAAATTTCATAAAAACGGTTTTCCATTAGCCAAATACTCGTCAATCCTCCGAACTCAATTATTGATTGATAAAATAATTCGGAACTTCGATATTAAATTGATGATTAATTCAATAATTTACCAATTAATGAGTCCTATTAATGACTCAAAATTGACTTATTCAAAATTTAACTTTATCTAACATTTACGATTACGCCGCTGTCTGAAGTCCAGAAACTTAATGTCAAATGGGTTAAAAAGATACCCAAAGTACTTGAATATCCTTAAAAATCAAGTTATCCCCCTCAAACTTTTACGAATTCTTTTACAACAGTATCAATCGACAATTTCCACCGCAACCCACCCCCTCATTCTCTAATCTTCAATTAAATTGATGATTAATTGAGTAATTTAACAATTGATGAGTCCTATTACCAATTCAAAATTGACTTATTCAAAATTCAACTTTATTTAACAATTACGATTACGCCGCTGTCTGAAGTCCAGAAGCTCAATATCAAATGGGTTTCACAAAATATCCAAAGTACTTGGATATCCTTAAAAATCAAGTTATCCCCCTCAAACTTTTACGAATTCTCTTACAACAGTATCAATCGACAATTTCCACCGCAATCCACCCCCTCATTCTCTAATCTTCAATTAAATTGATGATTAATTGAGTAATTTAACAATTGATGAGTCCTATTACCAATTCAAAATTGACTTATTCAAAATTCAACTTTATTTAACAATTACGATTACGCCGCTGTCTGAAGCCCAGAAGCTCAATATCAAATGGGTTTCACAAAATATCCAAAGTACTTGGATATCCTTAAAAATCAAGTTATCCCCCTCAAACTTTTACGAATTCTTTTACAACAGTATCAATCGACAATTTCCACCGCAACCCACCCCCTCATTCTCTAATCTTCTCCTTCTCCCGTCCGAAGGTCCAACTAGCCGGTCACCAAGGTAACTTCCGAGCGGGTCCGACCCCGGGCACAATCCTGAAGAAGCTCTGCCCGCAAGAGGAGGCCTGCTTCCGTCTCCTGATGCACGACGTCCTCCGCCCCTACGTCCCCGAGTTCAAGGGTGTCCTCGACGTTCGAGAGTCCGAGGAGGACCGGAGCAGTCAGGAGCCCGAGGCGCCCCCCAAGGACCCAGAGGACTCCCCCCAGAGTCCCATCGTCGCCTCCTACCTCCAGCTCCAGGACCTCCTCGGGGACTTCGACCAGCCCTGCGTCATGGACTGCAAAGTCGGAGTGCGAACGTACCTCGAGTCAGAGCTGGCAAAAGCCAAGGAGCGCCCAAAACTCCGGAAGGACATGTACGAGAAGATGATCCAGGTGGACCCCTCGGCCCCGAGCCCCGAGGAGCGTCGTCTCCAGGGTGTGACCAAGCCCAGGTACATGGTTTGGCGCGAGACAATATCCAGCACAGCGACCCTCGGCTTCAGGGTCGAGGGGATAAAGTTGAGCCACGGTGGCTCCTCCAAAGACTTCAAAACCACTAGAACACGAGAGCAAGTGACTGAGGCACTGAAAAAATTCGTCGAGGATTATCCACACGCTGTACCAAAGTATCTCCAGAGGCTCAAGGCCATCAGGGCGACACTCAAGGCATCGCCATTCTTCGCGAGTCACGAGGTCGTTGGGTCGAGTCTGCTGTTCGTTCATGACGCACAAAATGCTGGTGTCTGGATGATTGATTTTGCCAAGACTCTACCTCTACCCTCGCATCTCCATAAAATAAGGCACGACGCTGAGTGGGAAGTTGGCAATCACGAGGATGGGTATCTCATTGGTGTCAACAATATCATTGATATCTTTGAGGACATTAGAAACTCGGTGCCCTGATCATTGGGGGAATTTTTTTACAATTGGTTGGCACGAGCCGGCGGCGTGGTGGTTTAATGAGTGTAATAGAGACGATTGGTGTGTGGAGTGGTGAGAGGAATTCTTTAGTGAAGTGGTCTTTAGGTTCCAGAATTCGAGGATTTTTTGCTGCTGAGGACGTTCAGCATTGAAATGTCTTCTTATATTTTTTTGAGAACTACTCGTTATTCAGTTGATTGAAATTTTGGAAATGAAGGAATTTGTCTCGATCAGTTGGTGTGGGAGCAAATTCAGGAAAAATGGGTTTTCATATTCTATTCATCCATTTTTATAAACGAGAAATGAGAGATGATTTTTTTTTGTCGATTTAATTCGAAATTTTGAGGTATTTCTTGATGGAAATTCAATTTGTTATCGAGATATTTCAATTTTTTAACAACGAAGACTGGATTTTTGCAAGTGAGGGAATTTATTATAAGTTCTACAAAAATGGGTTTTCATAGTCTATGATAATCCATTTTTATAAACGGTAAATACGAACTGATTTTTTTATCGTTCGTTGTAGATTTATCGTGGTGATGAGAGGTTCTGGATGGAAATTTCGAGTTATTTCTTGTAGAAAATACCATTTATTATCGAGATTATTAAATTTTTTATCAACAAAGACTGTGGACCCTCGCAGTTGAGAGACACTATTATTAAAAATGTCTGCAAAATTTCTTATAAAATTCTACAAAACATGGGTTTTCACAGACTATCATAATCCATTTTTATGGACGAGAAATGACAAGTGATTTTTTTATCAATTCAGTTCGAAACTCAATCCCATTCGTTGATTCTGGTAACGAGTGGTTCTAAAATAAATTATAGAGAGTTTTCTGTAGCTCATGAAATTCACTACAAAAATCTCCTTCAACGTGTCGAAATGATTCAATTTTTTATTTAAAAAAGAACTAAAAAATTCAATTCTTGGAGAATTGTGGATTAATTTTGATAACGAGTGGTTCTAGGACAAAAATACCAAGAAAACTCCAAACTTCCCAGCCATTAACGATCATCACCAGCAATTTTAATTATAAACGAAGAAATGAAAGAATACAGAGAAAACCTATTCTTTCCCTAATTGCCAACGTTTCGAACACTCAAAGTGTTCTTCATCAGAGCATTTATTTATTCTATATTCAGCCCATCAGTTATTTAAAGGCTGTAACAGAAATGTATCAATCCAAAGAAATTCACAGAATGGCTGTAAAGTTCCAAGTTTTTTGGAGATGAATGGAAGCGATTGGAATAATTATCGTGAAATATCAAAAAACATCTTTCGTAGCTCAAAAAATCCTCGCCTCAATAGGCCACTTGCCCCCTTACTAATGAATTCAACGTACGTAAACTCGTTAGTTCGATAGAATTTTCAATCTTTTTATTTGTTGGATGATGCCCGAAGAGACTAGCACACGAGCTGTACCCCCTCTTCGTAAATCAAACAAATAACCCAAGTTGAGAGTACGTAAACTCGGTAGTTCGATAGATGAATGGACCCTTCCACCCTCCCCACCCCTGGAGGATCCCAGAGATTCTGAGTTACTCCAAAAAAAAAATTAATCTAATTAAATTTAAACCAACAAACCAAAGACGCGGTAGCTGTGGCTGCCTAGAAAATCACCTATCACTGGATGTCAGTCACATAGATTAATGTATTTAAAGCCCCCAAAATTGTTCCAAAAATTTTCCATGGACAAATTTAGTGAAATTAGCTTTTGTATAAACTGTATTTCTACGAATGAAAAAAACAAAAATTCATTGGTATTTTGAGAATCACAAGAAAAACATTTTACTTAAGTTGTTTCATCATCTCTTTTAGCTCATCATTTTATTAATTTAATTTAACTACTTATACGTAAGACTTTTATTTATACTTTTTTTTTGAAATAACATTGCGCAAATCGTCTCCCGATACGAGACGATTATTTTGTATTCACAAAGCGTATTCACACGTTTGTAAATAAATCGTCATTTATTCATATTTAAGACAGAACGAAGAAAAAAAAAAGTCTATTCCACTTTATTTCACACTATCGATATTAAAATCGTTCCTTTGACACTTTCACTGAGTGTTCAGATCCTAAAAATCACTCCTCCATTTTTTTCGATTGATAAAAGCCCCCAGAATGATATTCCACGGATTCAGGGGGTATTGAAGGTATTTCTCGGTGGCTGTGGCTGGAGATTCTGTTGCTGAGTATTCGTTGCTTGTGTCCCTGCTATTGTCGTGGGTGCTATCACCCTGGCGTAGACAGCAGTCCCCGTTTTCAGTCCTGTTGGTGTTTGGATCACCTTGAGACCATGGAGGGTCTTGATGTTGAGCAATTGACTTGGTAAAATAATGGGCTGTTGTCCCTGTTGTGGGGCTGTTGTCTGTTTACCCAGGACCATTCCTCCTGTACTGCTTATACCCACACCGACACTCTTGTTACCACTGGCTAGGACTATGGGCTTTCCTGCTAACTGGGCTGTCACCATTCTCACTGTTTGACCTCCAGCTGTTCCAGCCTGTTGAGTACTGGCGATTATCTTTGATTGACCTGGAGACGCCTGCGCCTGCGATACCACCTGTGAACCGGAGATTATTAAGAATATTAGAATTTATTTTATTGAGACGATTTCACGTTCAACAAGATGTGAAAATTGATTCATCTTTTTAATTTCTCTGGTGAATGCAGAACTTTTTCTTTTTCTCAAACAACAATATATTTGAATCATTTGAGTTTATAGATTTTTTATCATAAATTTAATTCAATAATTTCATTGGACAATGCACTGAGGAATTATTTCATCATTGAATCAGCATTTTTTTTTTAATGAGAGAAATGTCAATATCAGGCCATTTTAGCCGAAGGAAAATTTGCAATAAAAATTCCCCCGATATTTCCTCCTAAAACTCCTCATCCTGACGATAATTAGACATTGAACATAATGAAAAAAAAAAAACAATTTATTGCTCTTTCCTCTTAAAAAAAATGAATTATTCCATTTTATATACTTCTTAATCATAATCCATCATTCGACAAAATGTCAACACCACCTCCTCCCTCCCCCCCTCCCGAATCCCAAACAGTCCTCCACCAAATCAAAATATTATTGAATAATTCATTTAAATATTGTGTTTACCACCTCGAACTCAACACCATCCTGTTACTTTCCCCCCTGACGCAAATCCCTGACGTCATTAAAAACGTTTCTCACCTGATACTGCGTCTGGATGACTTGTTTACCCTGTCGATTAACCTGTCCAGTGGCTGTTGTCGTAGCAGCGAGTTTGAGTCCCTTCTGGGCAAGAAGGCTCTCAACAGATATGAGTTGTCCCCCACCAGCGCCAGTCAAAACTTTAGCAAGAATCTTCTGCTGCTGAGTCTGCTGCTGATGCGGAGACTGTTGAATCTGCACAGCAATAGGTTTCCCCCCAATCTGCGCAATTATCCTCTGCATTCCAGGTGTGGAGATGGTCTGTGGCTGGGACTGATGATGCTGAGTGACAGCAGGCTGCTTGATCTGCTGGACATGTTGAATATGTGGAGTGTGACTGGTCCCTGGTGACGACTGCTTGATGAAAATCGTCTGTCCCTGGAGGCCATGGCCAGTCAGCAACGACTTGATCTGTCCAGAGCTCACCAATTTAATCTGTGAAGCAAGAAGTGTCTTCCCCGGCAGAACGTGCTGGGTCTGGGGCTGGGTGACCTGCCCAGACGATTGTTTAACACTCGACGCCTGCAGGATACTCTTCCCCTGATTGCTGACCACCGCCTGCTGAGTCTGGCCCTGAACCTTAGCAGTGGGAAATATCGCAGCCACACTCGTCGGTGTCAAAGCACTTCCCGACGTCACCACAGGCTGAGCCGAGTGGAGAACCGAGTGACCAGACAATCTGATTGTCTGCAATCCAGCAGACGTCGACACCTGTATCTGATGATGTGGAAAATGCTGATTAGATTGCAACAAACTCTGGGCTGGATTTGTCTTGACAACAGTGACAGGTTTTCCTCCAATGCTGGTGCCCACTTTCTTCAGAGGTCCCAATGAAGGACCCACAGCAGCCACTGGCTTCATCTCCACAGGCATCACAGCCTCTCGTTCAACAACCGGTGGCAGTGGAGTTGATAATATAGGAGAGGGCAGACTCGGTGTGACAACAGGAACACTTGGAGCTGTTGTTATCACAGGTGGAGGCGCTGGGGCAACTGTGGGGACTGGAATGGGCTCAGTGGAGACAGACTGGTCCACAACAGTCTTCTCCTCCACCCTCTGCTCCTTCCTGTTGGTCCCCTGGGTCTGAACAGCCGATTTTCTCTCCTTCTTTGGAGTTGTCTCTCTGACACACGACGGTGACTGCTCCTTTCCGTTCACCATTTTCGGGCTCGACTGGGTCGACTTATTCCTCGATGATCCACCAGAGTGCTTTTTCGTTTTTACAACACCCTGGAGCTGCTGGTGGAACATCTCAAATTCGGATTCTGAACGGGCTCGGTGGAGGTACAGCCACTCTTTTTTCTTTGGGTAGTACCTCACGCAGGGGTCAGTCTCGTAGTGCAGACGGTCTAGGGCTCCTGAGACCACCGAGTTCAGGTAATTGTCCTTGTCGTTACCCACTTGGTCACTCTGGTCCTGGATAAAAAGACAATTACTATTACTCGTTTCCATTTGAAGTATTTAAACGTTTTTACATAATTGTTTTTTTTTCGTGAGCAAAATAATAGTGTTTTCATTTTTTTGGGGTAATCAGAATAATGATATTTGTTGGGGGATATTATTAATTATAAAGTGCTAATGAACATGAAGAAAAAATAATAAAAATATGGAGAGAAGAAATCATCTCTGAATGCAATAATTTTAAAATTAATTGCAGAAATGAGTCGATTTTGTATACAATTATATTTAAAAAAAAATTAATGATTGATTGGTAAACATTTCGAAACAATTACTATAAAATAATAGTAGTTTGTTGTTTTATTCATTACCAATTGTCTTGGTATTACCATTATATTATTATTTATCACGAAAAAGTAATGAACATGGAAATAAAATTAGGAAATAATGAAAAATCCTGTAACAGTCGTCTCTAAATTACGAAATTATCATTATTCTTTGTGAAAAAAAAAAACAATATTAATTGACCTCTGATACTATTCATCATGAAAATGCAATGAACATAAAAAAAATTGTATGAAAAAAAAAGTCCTTCAAAGATTATTTTACAACTCAATTAACGATCAATTATTAAACATTTTAAACCAATATGACGATAAGAACTCTTCTTTAAAATAATTCAATAAAAAAACTGAATAAAACCAAAATAACTCATATTTCGTACCTTGATGTACTGTGAATCCTTCAACAACATACAGATATCGGCCCTCGTCCCCTCTCCATTAGGCAGTCTAGCAGTGGCATCCCTGACAAGTGCCAGAATGGTGACAAAATTAGGGCGATCAGGAACAAGAAGCGAGTGTCCCCTAGCTTTGGTGAGCCCAGCGCCAGGATTATGCTGATAAATCCCCTTGACAGGGCCCACCACCGAGGCATACCCATGCATCCTGTAGGTAAACGCCTTGTGAGGAGCAGCATACCGCAGCCTCTCCTGCCTCCTGAACTCCTCCCTCTCCTCAGGCGTCGACAGCCTGACCTTCCAGTCAGTGGGGCACAACGCTTTCGGTGGTTCGCTCTCCATCATCGCAGTGAGTGCAGCCCCATCAGCAGATATCGATTCCACAACTGGGCTCAACGTCTGCAGAGGAATCCCATTGGCACTCGAGACAGACTGCACTGAGGTAGATTTCACTGGAGCCACTGGTAGAGGACAGGGCACCACATGGGGTCCCAGTGAGTCTTTGTACAGTAGAAACTTGGTGCAGAGGATGGTTAGCCTGGAGTCCGAGTCCCTGCCAGCTCCAATCCACGCATAGACCCCCCTCCCCTTATTCTCAAGATAAGGAACAAACTCCTGATCCCGTTCCTGATCGAGTTCTTGGGCATAAGTCAGCTCACCAGCGAGAAATCCGAGGGCTGAGGGCACCAAATTCCCCCAGGACGAGGCCAACGAGTACCAGTCGTTCAGGGGTGATATAGGATTGCTCTGCCAGAGAGTGACAGCCTCCTTCACCTCTGGAATACTCATCCTGTACTCCCCCTTGGACATAAAAGCATCCCTCAAAAGGGAGAAGAAACACACGTGAGTCTCCTGCATCAAGTCCCCACTCCCATTCATCGTGATGTCCTCAGGCTCCTCCAGAGACACCTCCCTCTCCGACATCGTTATCGAGTGATCATTCTCGCATTTAACATCCTCCAAAATGTCCATTCCATCGTCCAATTGAATGGGAATCTGCAGCATGTCGATGTTCTCGAGGTCCAGCTCCTTCTTCTCTGTCAACTCCTCCTCCATCTCACTCTCGACTCGATGCTCCTCGGGGAGAATAAACTCGGGCTTCTCCTCGGGCTCGGGGAACTCCTCGATCTCCTTCTTCACCTCTAGGGGGAGAATCACTGGGGGCAGGGGCTTCGGGGGCTTTGGTACTGGGGGATTGGACTTCTTCTTCACCACTGGCATTTCGTACGTGTCTGCGGGCTCTGGCTTTATTGATATGAAGCTCTGGAGGTCCAGGTCCTGGCGAAGGCTTCGGAAATTGTCGTCCAGGTGATCTGCATCGAATTCCGTTTTTATCGTCGGCTTCAGGGGCATTGGGGGGAGCGGGGGAATGGGGGGCAGTGGGGGCTCGAGTTTTATTCGTTTTTTGGAGGTGGATTTGACGGCGTTTCCAGGGAGCTTGTGCTTCTGGCCTGTTTGAGCTCGTTGGCTCAGGTCTGAGAGGGCTATTCCCTGGGTGTTTAGCTCTGGGTGAATGTCACCTCGTGATCTTCGTTTCTTGTGGGCGATCAGCATGGCTCGGTAGCTGTCCTCTGTGAGCTCACGAGGGGGGAATGGCGGGGCTGGCTGGCACTGGGGCCTCTGGAGGGTCGAGAAGACTGGTCTTATGTCCTCGTCCTCGAACAACTGGTTCGTTCGGATCGACGACTGACCCATTTGTACTTTTCTCTTCTTCTTTTGCTTCGAGGGGGGCTGGTACTGGGGGTAATTCTCCTCGTTCTCGGAGGTTGTGTCTGCTAGTCTCACCGTTCCCAACTCGTTTCTCAGGGCCTGGAGTTCCTCCAGGTAACGAGACTGCGTTCTCTCCTCGATTATCGAGGGCTTTGGCTTGCGCCAGTGCAGCTTTGAGGGGGGCTGGGCCGACTGACTGAAGCCTTGTTTGTAGGCGGTTATTAGGAGACTCTCGCGGGACTTCAGGAGCTGCTCGGCTAGCTCGTACGTTCGCTTTCGCTCGTCGAACAGAAGCCTTCTTTGCTGGGCTTTGCGGACTAGGCGACGCATCCGCCGGATGTCCGGGCGGTAGTGACCCGAGGAGAGGTGAGTTGTGAATGTGTCCAGTGGAGCTACGCCAAACCTGAGGGAAGACAGCACTTTGGAGAATTGTGGAGTGATGTGGATTGTTTTTTTTTATTGGGACACGTCTGGGAAATTTTAATAAAGGGATCATTTTTAGGACTTTTCAAGGGATTTTGATGTGGAATTCATTATTTGGTGGAAAATGAACGAAAATTGGGAATTTCTGTTCAATTGTTTTGTGGAAATTAGGGGAAATTAAATGAAATTTCAATTGCTACTTCAAATCTGGAGAGAAAGATAATTTTTGCAATGATATTTCTGCTACACTTGTTTAAAATTTTTATAAAGTGACAATTTTAATGAAATTTCAAAGGATTTTGTATTTAAAATTTACTACTTGATGGAAAATTAATGGAAATTGGTTGAAATTAATTTCAGATTAATTATTTCATGAGAATTCGTAGAAATCAGGAAAATTCAGGTAAAAATAGTCATGAATTTTCAGCAACTATTGGAAACCTCGAGAGAGAGATAATTTATGACTAATATTTTTGGTACAATTGTTGATAATTTTTGTCAAAGGGCAATTTTAATGAAATTACAAGGGATTTTGTCTGTGGAACTTAACAATTTGATGGAAAATTAATGGAAACTGTAAATTTCAGTTGAATTATTCCGCGGGAATGAGTGAAGAACTAGAAAATTCAGGTGAAAATATTATTAAATATTCAATTAATGGAAAATTCAGCGTAATTTAATACTGACTATTCACGTTTGACTGAAAACTTGAATAATTTGTAGAATCCTCATTTTCCTTCTGCGAAAATATTGAAAATTTCCCTAGAAAAATCGGAACTCAAAAAATATCTTGAAATCAAACAGCACTAGAGAACCTTTCAATCTTCTAGATTCTCACAAAAATATCCTCACGTTCCCCAGACAACAAAATTTCCTCCTGAACTTCCTCATTCTGCTTCAACACTTCCACTCCCTGTAACCCCTCAATTACCTTTGGTTCTCTCTTTGGAAAAGCAATTGTAACGATTTCTCCTGTTCCCCCCCAGCATCACAGTCTTTGGGAAAAAGTGGCAAATATTGTGAAAGTGATAATCTCTGCTCCTCCGTCAAACACTCCTGCCACAAGCTAGGATTCAGCATTTCATGGAGAATCGAGGGATGCTCACACAAATCCTGAGGTAGTTTCACTTTGCTCCCACCAGCAACACACGTCTCCCATCTCTGCAACGAAAACCCCATGAGGCACTTCCCCAAACCGATCAATTCCCCTCGAAAAAAAAACCAAACCAAAACAAACATACAACTTCGTCCACACACTCTCGTTGATCCTGTATTTCCGAGTTGTCATTATCCCCATCATCATCATCGGAAGTGTGTGTCTCAGAGCCACTGTCCTCATCCCCAGTGTCATCAGCACTCTCTGAACTCGAGCTGCCGCCACTGGAGCTGGTGGTGGTGCTCTCAGTCCTCGATCCACGAATGGACTCGTCATCCTCCTCTTCCTCAGCCCCAGAGTCACCCCCAGCTGAGCACTCGTCGATCTGCACGAATTAACGACAAATGAAGTCTGCCCTCACCATCTCCACGAGATAAAATACATTACGTAATGACAGAAGTGGATATGAATGATATTTCACTGAGGATAACATCTCCAGCGAATGTATACACGAGAGAATGAGGTTAAGACACTGAAAATATCCCTCTGGCCCACGACAACAACTCACCTCCATCATCGCGAGTGATTTATCCGGTGATTATCCAATGAATAAATTATTCCGTTGACCTCCAGAGTTCTCCTCGTACTCACGATAAATCTCAACACTTTGTTACAAAAATAAATAAAAATCGAGGATACACTCAGACTGTCAAAAGCATTAACACGAGTTGACGAGTGATCATCGATACGAGTAAACACAACTGTTGACAGTTAATTGTACAGTAATGGGCATTAGGATCGTTGGAATTCTTATATTCTCTATTGATCGTGTATTATTAGGTAATCTCGCTGTTGGACGATCGACCTGTCACAGCCACAATACTCCTACTCCACTGTGAATTATTCGTCATGGCGCGGAGTAGAGAAATTCCAAAAGCGAAAACTGTACGGGTGCAGGTTTGTTGTATCAAAGTGAGCATGGAATGCCGACAGATGCGCATTCGCGGTGGTAAAAGTTTAACGGTGGGGGGGTTTTCAATGGTAGCGCCAGCTGGTGGGGAGATGCGGGGGTGTTCGAGGCGACGTGAAATCGCGCCTTTAGGTGCTGGAAATTGCGGGATTCGATATCTTCGGGAGGTAAATGATGACATTCAGGAGATGGCATTCCTCGGCTTCGCCTCGGTCTGCACACCTCAAACTCGTCAGAAAAGTTTTCAGTCATAGCTATTTCATCACTTGTGCGTAAAGTGAACTTTGACACACGGTGTGCGTAAAATGAATATATTCTTGAAATTCTCTTTACACACGCTCTTGAATTTTACGCACTCGTGCACGAATGCAATATCACAAAAAATAGGAGGTGTTACACGGGCGAAAAACCAAATCTTTACGCAGTAGTAACATAATAGTATATTGTGTTACAAGTGCGTAAAGAACCACTTTTTCGCACGCACGCGTAACACATTCTATTTTTTGTAATACCTGCCGAGTTCACTGTTCGGGACCGTAGTGGGGGTAAAATGCTTTTGTGCACGGGGTGCGTAAAACAACCACTTTACACACACTAAACGCTTTCGAAAAGTGAACTTTTGAGGCAGGTATTGCAAAATATATTATTATGCACTCGTATCGAAATATACTATTCTAGATTCTATTATAAAAAAAAAACAATAAGCGGAGAGAGGTTTTCATGGATTAATTTCTCACACTCATTAAAGTTAGGATTCATGTAAAAAATTATCAATGAAGAATAATTTTTTTGGGCTTTTTACATTTATTTTTTCAGAATTTTTTTTTTGCATAGGGGCGGGTGGGGTAAAATGGACACTTTAGACTTTTTTTTAATTACTCATAACTCAGAAACAAATTTATCAATGGAGCTCACTTTAGGCCCATCACAAAGGGCAAGAATTGTTCTTTGCATTGAAAAAAAAATTATTAAATTTCATCACCATTTCAACCTGTCATTAACATTTTTAAAAAAGTCAAAAGTGTCCATTTTACCCCCACCTCCCCTAAAATGACTTTTGTGCGAAAACCATGATATTTATCGAAAAAATAGTTCCCTCCAATTTTGTTCCTTATGATTCAACGAACAATTTCTTTTTTTAATCTTACAAATTGGATGATTACGTCCGGAGATATGCACATTTGTTTATAAGCGCCCGGGGTGTCATGGCGATTTTTTGGTCATATGACGCGGTCTCAAAACTGACGGTCATTTTGCACCTCCCAGTGTTTTCCTCCTCTGCAAACTCGGATACTCACACGTTACAGCACATCATGGAAGTTGTGTGGCACGTGGTCGGCCAAAAAATGGCAAAAATGAAGAGATTCTACCGATTTTTCAAATATTTCGGAATGCAAAAATACCCGGAGTGAACCCTTGAATATCAAGCCTTTCATAAATTGCGGTGAACGGGTGTTCCGATTGTATTCATCATTTTCGGAGTCGCTATTTCGGTATCAAAATATTTCCACTACGACGACTGCTCGGGGATGTGGCCTTCCCCTGTATTTGCAGACATGATCAAGGACTCGCGCAATGGGAAAAGGCCACGTACTTCATGCGGGCCATGCCTGGGGGCTCAGTTGGATCGTGGAGTGACTCGTCTCCGGAGGGAGTAGAAGCCCAAATTCTCCTCTCGTCAGTGGAGTGTTGCGTCAGCCTGTGAATGTACTCAGCTCACGGGACAAGTGTTTATCAGGGACCTGGCAGTGTCTTGAGTTTTTTTTTCGCAGTCCCGCTTTTGTTTTCTCCTGTATTTCGCGAGTCATTTGATAAGGAATAAGGTTAGTGCATTATTCATTTCTAATTTTTTTTTCTCGACTCGATAATTTCTCTAATTTTTTTTCCATTGTTTAATTCGGTTTTATTTTATTTCAATTATTTCACCTCAATTCTGGCTTTTCGTGATGTAATGGGGGTTTAATCGAGGAATTTTATTTATTGATGCAACAGTTTGGTACAAAAGTGTACCTTTTCTAGTGCTTTGGCCAAGGTTTTTTATTTTATTTTATTTCATACATTTCATTACATGGATGTTACAAAAGTATTTTTTGTTTCACATTTTCACCAGCATTTTATATCCCACGTTTCTCGTGAAAATATAAATTTTGATTCTACATTTTTTAATTTTATCGGAATTCGATATTTGGAGTTTAATTCATTTACGATTTTTTTTCACTGAGTTGTCCAATGTATTTCTATTTTTTTAATTTTTCAATCCAATTCTAATTTTTTAACGATATTTTGAATTAAACCAAATAAAATTCTGTACATTTCGTCACAAACTCCAGTGTCAAAATTTTGTCTGAAAGATTTTTCTGCATCCAATGTCAGTTTTCCTAGCGGTATTTCTAACCTATCTGAATTTTCCAATCATATTTTAATATTTTCAAACCGTATTTGGAATTAAATCTCCAAAAATTCTTAATTTCTCGTCACGAATGCCTGTCTTTAATATCTGATGCTCGATTCGGCGTAAAATTGACACTTTGACTTGAAAAAAATGAAACGTGAGTGATTTCTGTTGTTGGAACGTCCAAACCAATGAACGAAAATAATTGAAGAGTCACCGATTGTGAGATTCCAAAATTCTTTATTCCCCTCATTGAAATAATTGTTCTTTTTTTCGTCGTTTTATTGCAGAATGACAAAAACCGCGATCTCAGCACTCCAGGAGTACCTCCAAAAGACGCGTGCAGCTGCTCCTTGCTACACTGAAATTTCTATAGAACATGGGGAAGTTCCCAATTTCAAAATCAGGTGCGAGTGCATGGGTCTGTCAGCTGATGGAGAGGCTTCCAACAAGAAGACTGCCAAGCACCGCGCAGCTGGGAAGATGATCAAACTTATCAAAGAGAAGCACAACTGTCAAATTTTTTATGAAAATATAGAGTCCCCGGCTCCAAGCTCTCCAGCTCCGAGGATTCCCTTCTCAGCTGAGACGATCACTCGGTCTCCTGAGGCTACCATCAATCATATTGGAAAATTGAACGTATGTTTTGATTAATCTGGTTGATTATTTCGGGAGGGAGGAGAATTGTTATTTCTAGGAGCATTAAATGCTATGTCTATGTTCTAAACACATTTTTTGGAGATAATATTGTTGGCTACAATGAGAATCTAGTGATGATTTCTCATAGGATTACATTGAGGAGATAATGTCAAAATTCTGTGGTAAAGTGGTGGCACTAACGCTAATTGCACAATTCATCCCCTAAAATCTGGGAGGAAAACTACAGAAAGGATTTTTTTGGAGCAAAGAAAATTAACTACTATAAAAACTGTCTTTCGACAGTTTCTTCTGAAAGTACTTATTAATTGGGAAGATAATACAATTCACTCATTAAATTCTGAAACAAAATTAACGAAAATTCAAGATCAGACTTTGATGAATATCTTTGAATTTAGATAAGATAATATACTTCTTAAAAAGATCTTAGTTGTTCGCCAATATCTCGGAAGAAAGAAGAAAATATCAGAATTCTTATCAGGACTTGTCATAGCCAAAAAATCTCAACATTTTCCCTCAAATTTGATGTAAAAAAAATTAGGAAAATCCCGTTTTGATTTTTTCATCGATGAAATCTTCAAAAGTGTCCATGTACACCATCCTCAATCGATTGACTTAAATTTTGCTCTACACATACAAAATATATGCATAAATATAACTAAATGAGGCTTTTTGAAAATCTACATTTTTTGGTTTTTCGGTTTTTGGTAAATCATTCAAGGATGAATGTTTTCAAAAAAATTTCATCATTTTTCTCATCGTATGCATTGTTTATTTCGCACTTGAATATTACAAATTTTTCACCTCACTCAATTTTGGGGGAAAAATTCCAAAAACTCAACAACTAGAAATTTCCAAAAAGGTCATTCAGTTATATTTGCGTCCATATCGTCGTCGAAGACGGTGAATTTGAGTCAATCAGTTAAGAACTGCGTCATGAGGATACCCTTGAAGATATCATCCCCAAAGTCTCTTTCAGATCACTAAAAAGATCAAACCCTAATTTTTCTCATTTCTCCACATTAAAACTAAAGCAGTAAACCCATCAAAATGACAGATGAAGGCCCAGCGAAAACTCCTGAAGAATTTTCCCACCTCATCCCCCCGCCCCTGACCGTCTGCTCGTCTTTCCCCAGGAATTGTGCGCCAGTAAAAAAATGCATCAACCCGTGTACTACGACACTCAATGCATTGGGCTGAACCACCTGCCCCTCTTCACCGTAGAATGCAGAATAGCAACTCTGAGTGTCAAGCGAGCAGCTCACACTAAAAAGGAGGCCAAGCAGCGAGCCGCACACGCAATGCGTGAGCTCCTCAAGACCAACTACACAATTTCCAACGACATAGAGCCCTTGGCCGCCTCGATCCAAGAGCTCCTCCCAGCAGCTGACGAACTCGTCGTGAACATCGAGGATCTGCAGATCCAGGAGGATCCGAAGCTGGCGAAAGCCACCGAAAGAGCGAAGACCCTTTACCCAGCGCTGAAGAAACGTCTCGGAGTGGCCAACGACACCCCCAAGAACATCTGCATAGCTGATTATCACGAAGCCTTCAAGGCATCCTTCGAACCTCAAGTTGTCGCTTCCTTCCTCGCCTACTACAAGTCCTTAAAAATGACTGAGAAACTCACGAAAATGAGTCTTGAAGTCATCCTCAAGCGAATCGTTGACATCCTGGGGGTGACCTTTGAGACCCGCACTCTGAAGGTCGTCCAGACTGCTGTATACATCGTGGCTTATAAAATCAAGTCCAAGCTTTCGTTCACGGAGGTGGGGATGGCGGATAACTCCGAGGGGGCTCATGTCGATGCTCTTCATCGTCTCATCGGTGCCATTTACGTGATGCTCGTCTGAGGAGGTAGAGGGTGCTGTCGAGGCCATCTACGACTGGCTCGATCACCAGTGGAGGCCGGAGGCCCCTCATTTGTGGTCCAGGCAGTCGTCGATGGCCTCGACTGCACCGTCTACACGAAATTGAGGGGATTTTTCGGGAAGACTGAGTTTTGTGAGATTTTTGTTCCCTACTGGGTTTTTTTCTCAGTCTTATGGTGTTAAGGATGTTTATGCAAAATCGAAAGCACAGACATTTGTTTTTTTCTAATGAATGGGAGAGACGGATCTTCGTGTTGATGAAATTTCAATCCACCAACTCAAGTTTATTGAGGGGAGACTAATATGAGTTTTAAAAGTCGTGGGTTATTGGAGTGAGACTTTTCATACGTTGACGATCGATTACATAGATCTGAAAACGAATAATGGTGCACAAATTTTTTTTTTATTGTTCGTTTGCCCGAAAACGCTTAAAATGCTAGAAACAGTCCAGGGCATCCAATTTTTGAGCTACAAAAGATTTTTTTTTTTCACAATTTTCGGAAAAATGTGTGGAACAACAATTACGAGCCAGTTTTTTGGAATTACACTCCTACACAGCTGATTTCGTTTTTTTTTATATAAAAAAATTCACTATTTGTGTAAAAAAATACAAAAAAAGAAAATTTAGCCATGTAAGAGGCGAATTAAAAAATAACTAGCTTTTCTGATGCAGTAGTGAATTCAGTGGTAAACTTGGTCAAGTCGATTCAAACCTAGGCTGAGTTTTTGAAAAATATCTCCGAATCTAAGGGAGATAACAAAATTTTCGTTATGACCTTTTATAAAGAACGAATTGGGGGCTACAAAAAAGGTCTTAACAAAAATTCTGCTATCTCTCTTAGATTCGGAGATATTCACTTAAAACTGACTACTAGCCAAAGTCGACGCGAATTGTTTTACCGTTTCACCACTGAATTTTGCTTGGAAAATGTGTAGAATGGTCTGAAACGTAAAAATACAGTGTGACTACCTTGTGTACACGTGCGGGTGTCCATTAGGTGGTCAATTTTTAGACAATTGAATTTAATTCACACAATTGTCTTTGACTCTATGGGAGACTGCGAAATTTTTGCAGAAGCTTTTTGGAGTCGAATGAGGTTCGAAAATTATTTCTACTAATTTTGATCTCTCTGGTAGATTCAGAGATATTTATGGAAAATTGAAGTCCAAGTACTCGATTTTTTTCATGAGATTGCGCTTCATCGATTCATTATCGAATCGTTGATTTTCTTCTGTATCATTTTGATACTCGAGAGATGATGAAGGAATCGTGGGCACACACCCACACATACATACATACATACATACATTCTCTAAAAATGAATCTTTGAGATTTGTAAGACTTGAAGAGTCTTTTGCCTTATGTCCGAGTTATTTTCATAAATTACTTGTTCCTAATTCACCAGTGGAGTGCTGTTATTTGAGAAATATCTCCGAATCTAAGGGAGATAGCAAAATTTTTGTAATGACCTTTTTTGAAGGGCGAAGTGCGGGCTGCAAAAAAGGTTATAACAAAAATTTTGCTATCTGCCGTAAATTCCGAGATTTTCAGTGAAAACTGAGCGATAGTGTAAGTCGGCTTGAACCGTTTTACCGATTTGCTACTGAATTAATTTTCTGCCAAGTTAGAAGTTCACGAATTATGAGTAAAATGATCAATTGTCGAATATTCGTTTTCGAACAATCCGTGTCATCCTTATATGAATCGATTTTTTCAGTCCTTTCAAGTTTATAGCTAGTAATGATAAAATATTGCGTTGAGAGGACAAGTGACTTTGAGTACTCACATTCCCCTAATTGAGTTGTTACAATGTGTTCATCATAAGTCACTCGGTCCATACTGACTCAATATTCCAGCGGTGTAACGCCTAGAAATAATGTATTGTTGCGTTTTTAATATGAATAAATATTTTTCAAGTTCCATAATCTGTTCATTTTCTTCTTTCTGATAGATTAAATCAATATTGACATAAGTGAAATCAAACACAGGTACTGTCGTGCCAATTCCGAAACTTCGAGTAGCAAATCTGGATCTTAAATTTTTTATTGAAAAATAAGTTAATTTCTCTTTTAATTTTAAAAAATAACAAAAAATCCATTAACAACTAAAAGTTTTCGAAATAATGTAATATTTTATGTTACGAATAATAGTAGTTTTAATTTTTAATTGACATTGAATATTGACATAACAATATTAATAGCATCACGTAATAAAGTATTTTCCAATAAAAATTTTTATCGAAAAATTCATAAAATGAAAAAAAATATCGAGCTATTAAAAACCCCAATTTTGTTGAATTTGTAATGTGAATAAGAAATATCATGATCCTGATATTGAATTCAAACTGACAACATTGAAGAGTTGAATTCACCTGTCACTTCAATAAAAAAAATCCTAAAATTTTAAATATTAAAAAAAAACTAAAAATCAATTAATAATTAAAAGTTTCCCAAATAACAGAATTTTACACCATAAAAATTCATTTCAATTCAAAATGAATGTTAACATGATACAAATTCTTTTCACCAAAAAATTAATAAAATAAAATGAAGAAAAAAAAGTCATCGATAACTTACTGAACGAGCGAACTTCCAGGAATTTTCAACTCTGTCCAGTTACCCCACTCTCTCTCCCCAGCATTGGCAATCGTGTCATCAACCCAAGACTCCAACATGGCGTCCGGTCAATAGAGACGAGAGGGAGGAGAGTAGTTGTATGGTTGGATTGGAGGTAGTGGGTGTCGTGGCCCCCCGGAATACTGGGCCCTCAGTCTACAGTTTTTTTTTTCATCAACCATTTATCATTTAAACAAAAACATTCCTCACTCAATTAAGTATTCTCGTTAGTTGTGGATAAACACAGTTGAGTGACTCAACGATGAATCAAGCTGATTCTAGTGTGCGATTTAGTGTACAATAATAGTGATGATTGGGGGAGTGAAAATGCAATCAATTCGCATGCACTACGGGCCCTCAAACTGTCAAGATCGTGGCTGAGTCAGGAATTTCGCAGTCGATTTTTTTAAAGTTACAAAATGGCTTCGGGCGACAATGTGGATGTGATTGAAGTCGTTGAGACTAGTTTTGGGGGTGGAAACAGGGGTGATGACTTGTCCTCGAGGCTCAATGACTCTGGCGATGAGGACGGTGAGTTTTTATTCAATGTTTTTTGTCAGTAATTATTTTGAATTATACATAACCTAGAATTAATGAGCGTTTGACTCATTCCGCTTATCTCGGCCCCATCCTCTGTCAATAAATAGCTGGATTATTTTTTTTTCCTCGTTCGACTTTCATCGACGCACGGTCTCTTGACCTAGAATTTTTGGTTTTATTTCGGGGATTTAATTCTCGTTTCTTGCTTCATTCAACTTTTCGTCGAATTCCTGTCGACTCGCTGCGGGCGTGAACTTTGACAGCTGATCAAATCTGGTCGTGATTCAGAATACTTAGAAGTGTTTGGAGGCAGTGGTTTAACGAATTTATCTCGGGGTTTTTATACTGGCCGGAAATTGATGTGGGAATTTTGGAGTAAATCGGATGGGGTTTTAAGTGCTATTCATTCGCGTGGAATTTTCAGGCATGTTGTCACTGGGAAATTAATTAATTTGTTGAATGTTTGATGAAATTGACATTTTTAGGTCCACGTGACATTGAAAATTGTGAGACTGCAGGAAACGATTGTCCGGCATTGTCAATCTATTGAAGATTTAATTCAATGGGATTTCCAATTTTCACGATGGATTTGAAAATTCAACTTGTTATTTAATTAGCAATCAATATGTAATATAAAACATTCTATGCTCTATTTTGTTGAATTTCTACGATGAACAAGAAGTTTCATGAACAATTAGCACTCTAATTGGATTCAAGTAAACGAGATTGAATGTTCAAATGGAGCAATTGAAATTGCAAGCAAAAATTTCAAGAAAAAAATTTTATAATTTTTAAAAATGACTGATTTACGTGGAATTTCTGTCATGAATCCTGGAATTTCGTGCGAATAATCTTGAAATTTTTTCCTGTTGTCACTGAAAAATCAGTTGATTTTTGGAATATTCTACGAAATTGCAGTTTCCGAGTTAATGTGACATTAAAAAATCAATTTTCACGATAAATTTTCGAATTCAAGCTGTCATTTACACATAAATGATCGTCTAATGTGAAAAATTATTTTAAGAAATTGCCGAGATGAATAAGAAATTTCATAAACGACTTGATCTCAAATTTATTTCAAATTGAAAACCTTGAAAATGGAAATTCAGCTGTTGCTCAAATTTCTACAATCCCATCCTTAATTAATAAAATTAGAAAAGAAATTAATCATTAATTGAAAGTATCTCACAATAATATCATTAACGCCATTAATGTCAGTCACAACAATATTATTAAGATAAATATAAACAATATGAAAAACTCAGCTTTGTTGAAAATTCCATGAACGATTTAATTTCACATTAAATTCACGCTCCCAAAATTAAAATTTCGAATCAGCTGCAAGTGAAGTTTCAGAAAATTTCTAACATCGTATTTTTTAAAACAGTTTTCTCCCACTTCCGGAAACTAGTTTCATCCTCAATAAAAACGTCCCCCGAAAATTGTCTCCAATAAATTAATTTATTCGGGAAAGTTCCGCTTTGATGAATTTATATCAGATTCATTCCACGTGTCGGTATGCCTCATTTCGGAGCAACTCTATTGATTGAAAGTTTGATGGGTCTCGTGTGATTCAATTTATGTCACCGATGTACTGAATAACAGACTTCAATTGAATTTTTTTCTCCACAGATAAGTCAACAACTGGTGAGAGGGTTACCTTTGACGTGAGTATTTATAAATTCCCCTGATATTTTCCGTGATTTTCATTCCACTAGGTGCATTTAACCAATGCATTCCACATTTCTCGTGAGATAACGTCAGAGTTATCTGTCGAGAGTTTATGCGTAAACTTGGATCACTTTATCCATTATCTTCATTTCATTCAGATCATTATTTATAAATAAAGAGAACCATTCGAGAATAGAACAGTTTGAGTTTACGAGATTTTATGGATATTTAGTCGAGCGTGATGTGGGTCAAGACTGAGTCCCCCAGCACCACTAGCAGCAGTTCTAGTTTAGCCAGTGTAATCAAGTATAACAATTAACAAAAAGAGAGTTGGTGATCGTTTGATGGTGAGAGTAATTTAATTGTCGTTTGGATTTTAGAGTTCAGCTGCACAACATGGAAGTGGCGGACCGAAGACACCCTCGGGAATTTCCAGGGGAAAGTCCGAGAGGGAGAGGAAAATTGGACACAGGAGGGTTGGCGTGGGTGGTGAAATCACCTACAAAAAGGTCAGGAATTTTACGAATTATTTATTTTTACGTATTCTCCTTATTCGGGGGAAATTCCATCTTTGCGAGAATTTCGTGAGGATAAAATACCGCGAGGTTTCAGGTTTTTTGATTGATCCAATAGTTTTCAAAAAGTAAACTGCTTATAATTTTTGGAGTATTTTTTGTAGTCCAAAGGAATTTTCGTGATTATCTTCATGAACCTAATGAGACTAATGAAGGTTTACGAATAAAGAAACTTAACGATCGTTTTATGGATAGTCCACAGTTTATTTTCGGCCGAATTGTTCAGCACTACATTTGGTAAATAATTCAAAAGCTTTGGAAATAACAGTCAAGTATTTAAAGAATTGTATTGCAGATTGGGTGTTATTATCCAGTCGATAATTTGTAAATACATGATTTAGATTTTTTCAAGTAAGTTTTTTTGTTGATGATTTTATTGCAGATAAAAAATTCTTTTTGAATTCCACAAAATTTGTGGAGTATTTTTCATTTTTTCGACGAACAAGTTTTCCTATAATTTTTATGGATTTAATAAAGCGAATGAACGAAAAGACTTAAAAATCGTTTTATCAATCCGAAATTCAAGTTCATCCTAGTTCTAAAAATAACCAATGATTAGAAGATCGAACTCCGAAGTAGATTTGATTATCTAAATTTATCAGATCAGATTTATCAATTGATCACAAAAAAAGATTCTAAAAAAATTCATTGACAAACTGAAATGACTTGATAGTTTTTGGCAAATTTCATTTGCTACTCAATCCTTAATATTCGTTCAAATTTCATGTTCAGCACAAAATTTGGTAAATAATAAAGAATTAATTACAATTAATTAATTGATTTAAAGAATTAACTAATTGTAATTTTGTAAATTTTTCTAAATGTTTAAGAGATTAAACTCCCCAATAGATGCGATTATCTAGTCGATATAATCGAACGAAAGCGATTTATGAAAATTTATCAGATCAGATTTATCAATTTATCAGAAAAAAATTTCTAAAAAAATTCAATAACAAACTTCAATAATTTGATAAATGTTAAATAGTTAAACCGTTTCGTCTGCATTGAAATAAGAATCTGAAGCCATTCACAAAAAGACATTTCACTGTCACTCAGCCCTTGACATTCATCCGAATTTCATGTCCAGCACTGAACAACATGATCAATACCCCAAGAATTCCACAAACAACACTCTGCAATTTACGACTGGTTGTTGTGTCCCCCATCCCCAGGGGGATTGTTCCGCGTATTCTCTCGCGTGCCTAAGTTTCGATCGTCCGTTGTAAGATACCCCCCCAGTGACGCAAACGCACATGACGAAGACACGTATCACGATAGACTTGGAATTTGAAAAATATTCAATTAATATGAGTCTTAAATTGACAGATGAATGGATTTTTTTTCTTCCTTTAGATTCAAACGACTCAGATTATGGGCTCGATACAACTGGGAATCCAGCACGCTGTTGGTGGATTAGCTAGTAAACCTGAGAGGGATTTGTTGATGCAGGATTTTATGACTGTTGAGACCACGAATTTCCCAAGCGAAGGATCCAATCACACGCCAGCCCATCATTTTTCCGAGTTCAAGTTTAAAAATTACGCTCCAATTGCATTTAGATACTTTAGGGATCTTTTTGGCATCCAGCCGGATGATTTTTTGGTGAGTTTTCACGATAAACATCATTGCATTAATTAATATCAACAATCTAACTCATATTTGCCACACAAAACGATGAGAAATAAAAAGTAAAAAAAATATAGTTTCGTTGGTTCGTGAATATCTCCGTAATGAGTGGGTTTACGATAATTCGCCATAAGACACTTTTTGTGGAGAATTTAATTCTCTAAAAAAAATTTCCTATGACTAATTCTCCTAAAACCAATAGTTTTTTAGATATTCGTGATAATAATCTGTCTTTTTGATTTACTTGTTCATTTTCTTCATTTTAATTGATTTAAATGTTTTTAATTGAACTTTTGATTGATTTTTCGTTTAGATGTCTATGTGTAGTTCACCCCTTCGGGAGTTATCGAATCCCGGTGCCAGTGGAAGTATCTTTTATTTAACAGAGGATGACGAATTTATAATAAAGACTGTGCAGCATAAAGAGGGAGAATTTCTTCAGACCCTATTACCTGGTTATTACATGAACCTCAATCAAAATCCACGAACCCTGTTACCAAAGTTCTTCGGATTGTACTGCTACCGTTGCAACAGCAAGAATGTTAGATTGATTGCTATGAATAATCTCCTGCCCTCGGCAGTTAAGTTGCATCAGAAGTATGATTTGAAGGGATCGACGTACAAAAGAAAAGTGAGTGCTTGAATTAATTTAAAATGATGTATGCATGCAGGCGTCTCACTCGGGAATTGTAGAAGTAATAATTGCTTTGACTTGGTAATGCAGGCGTCGAGGAGTGAAAGATCCAAGAAATCACCGACTTACAAAGACCTGGATTTCATGGAACATCATCCTGAGGGAATTTTTCTGGAGGCTGACACTTATGGTGCTCTTGTCAAGACTATTCAGAGGGATTGTCGTGTGCTCGAGAGCTTCAAGATTATGGATTATTCGTTATTGGTTGGAATTCATAATTTGGATCAGGCTGCGAGAGAGAAAACGGTAATTAATGATAATTTGAGGAAATTTATTTAATGAATTGGAAAATATTAAACGATGTTTTTTATGCCTGATAACAAAATATCTGTTACGAGTTCAATAACTGAAAGTAAAAATTAACATTCAAATTAATTTTCTAATATTTTTGAAAATAATGAATTTAGAGAAAAACGCGATCGTTAGGTAATTAAAATTCCGACAAAAATCCCTTGACATTTTCCTCGGGAGGCACTCATTCTCAACAAAATTTACTAAATAAATAAGACCAACAGGTGCAAAAAAAATTTCTATACAGATTATTCTGTAAAAATCTTTGGATATTATTTTTTCATTATTTTCATTCATTATTCATTTTGTAAAATTATTCCTTACTGAGATAATTCGATAAGTAACCATTACTGAAGCAAATTCCATACAAATTATTCTTCAAAAATCTTCAAAACTACTAGTTTTTTTTTTCTAAAAATGTAAAGAAAGCTTCTCTGTAGTTAATAAAATTGTTGTTATTTTTATTATGCAGGAACCGAGGCTATCGACAACAGTCGAAGAAGAGCCAGGAGAAGCTGGTTATGAGAGTGGTAGTTTTGTCCAAGTGGAACGTGAAAAAGATCGCGAGGATAGGATAGGTGCGACAGCCCTCAACAGATCACGTAGTATTAATCGGCAAAGGCTGGTTGCCCACAGCACTGCCATGGAGAGCATCCAGGCTGAGAGTGAACCGATAGATGAGGAAGATGACGTACCGTGAGTATTCACTAGTTAATCATTCCTTTAAAAAACACTGTTAGAAAATTACTACTGAAATTTCAAGTAAAAGTGAAAGTGATGTTTAATTTTCACAATTTATTCAAGAGTTCTATGTGTCGTCGAAATATGAGTGATTGCCCAACATAAAAAATTCAATTTTATTAACATATAAAATTCAAATTCTCTTAATTAAAAATTCAAATGCAGCAATTGCTCTGTTGAAAAATTAGTTCTGAAATTTCAACAAAAAATATTGAAATTTTTAACAATGACTAATTAACATGAATATTTTATCACTGGAGACTAGTTAATTTTTGGAAAATTCGCTGAAATTGAGTTGAAAAATTCTCGCTCTAACACAAAAAATTCAATTGTATTGAATTTCCAAGATAAACCCTAAATTCCATGAACGATTCGATCTCAAGCAGAATTGAAAATTCACATTGAAAATTCCAATACCTCTTCATTCTAAATTTCACCCAACTTCTAACAGTGTAACAGCCCCACAGTAACCAGAATAATTTCTGTACTTCGTCATTAATAATTATCATTATCTCATTTTTGTTCCTAGCAGTCCTGGGGGTATTCCAGCGAGGAATGCACGAGGCGAGCGTCTCTTGCTATTCCTCGGTATAATTGACATCCTTCAGAGCTATCGATTGAAGAAGAAACTCGAGCATACGTGGAAATCCATGATACACGATGGGGTATTGTATCAAACAGACCAATGCCACCATTTTGCTCCTCTTTCATTGAATGTGCAACTGATTTTTACTATTTGTTCAAGGACACTGTGTCGGTACATCGACCAGGCTTTTACGCCCAGCGCTTCCAGGACTTCATGGCAAAGACTGTATTCAAGAAGATACCATCACGTAAGTACCATCCGAATCAGCCCCTCCTAACGAATCTGACTTCGATGCTAGCGCTCAATAAGGCACATTCCTAGATCATTATTCATAACAGTCGGTACAATCTCGCAAAGTTGTTACATTCTATCGTTCAATTATTATTTTTTTTATTCACCTTTGAGATATTATCCAGTATTAAAATACCAGAAAATGGGGCTGAGGATACTTTCGACTCTTTCCTTCATTTAATTTAGTAATTCATCGAATTTCTAATTGAACAAAATTGTAATGCATTTTTTTTCTTGTTATAAAGATTTGGAAAAGAGTCGAAGTTAAATTTTTTGCCCTGTTTTTTTTTTCTCCGAATAAAATGAAAAAATAGCCAGAGTTATTGACGTGAAGCAGTAAGCCTTTAAGCTAGATGATAAATTCAGCATTGTGGAGATTAATTGAAACAAGAGGTAATTTGTGAAAGCATGTAACCTGCCAATTGTGACATTCGACTGAAAGTTGATTCAATTATTGCTCAAAGTATATAATAAAAGACTAAATGTTCCACTTGGATGAGCAGAGTCATTAACGAATTGAGTAATGTAGATGCATTATAAAAATTAAGTGCTTGGGGTCAATTCACGATTTATTAGTGGAACTAATTGCTAGGACTGGGCTATTGCCCCCCAAATGATATTTTTTAAAATTATCATTCAGAAATTATTGGTTATATTCCAGAAGCAATTCCAAAGTTGATATTTTTTTTGTTCCAATTTTTTTTGCCACGAGTGTGATTTGGTATTTAAATTAATTTGCACAGTCTATTGGTGTCCACAGACGTAGCCTGGGTATTACAGAGTGAAAACAAATTGAGCCAAAAGTATACGACGATAGCACAAATATTTTTATAGTGCAGTTTGACCCTCGAACATTGTATCAATGCATAGTAAGAAAATAACAGAGGAATGACTGGCAGAAATTGTTGATAAGTTGAAGGTTTATAGAGAGAAAGTATGAAAAGATAGATTAGAAGATAGGAAATTTATTTTTTTATCATGAAAAATAAATAATAATCAACTGGTTACTGAAAGTGGACACCAATGTAAATACTTATATATTTTACAATAAAACACTATTTCGCTATTTACAACCTCATATCATTTGTTCTTTACCCAGACAATCTAACTATCACTACTATCCTTCCATAAGAACCACTAATTTTACTTTACATTTTTTTTTTTATTTATCGTTCTGACGTGGGTAAAACTTGCGAGTGTACCTAGGCTGGACAGTTGAAAAAAAAAATGAACCAAAAACCAAAAGACAATTTGGCGTTTACTGGATTGCTCAATGGATCCTCAATCTTTATTTCTCCCTGTGTGACCGACGGTTTAATATATATTTTTTTTCATTTGATAATTAGCTCGATTATGAGTGTTGGGTATTAAAATTTAAAGACATTAGCCTAAATATATTTGATGTTTCTGTGTCCGTGCATTTTCCGTGTCAACCCTCTGACCTGATATCAACCTGCCTCGATCAAAATAATTCGATTTATAATCGAATAAAAACACAGTGGACCTGCCTGAGATTAAGGGGAATCATCGCAAATTCCGTAACCTCGTCACCAGCTACATAGGTAAACTCTATCTGTCTCTCTCATTCTGTCCGTCCGTGTGAATTTCATGTGCTGTTTTTTAAAATTTTAATCCATTTATTGTATTTTTCCACTGTCTTATCAGTGTGTTGACGTATGGCGTTTCAATTTGCATGACTTATTCCCCATTTGTGTTTCGCTTATTATCGTTCGTTACTTCCTGCACTTGGTAATCACCCACTGACGTTTGATACTTTATTTTCAATTTTACGTTTCTCATTTTATTTTTCTGCGCTGTAATCCGCTGGATTTTTCCTTTTTCCCATTGTATTTTGAGTTTTTTAAGATCATTCGATGAATTGTGAAGATGTTGATGGATCATGCATGGACTGTAGACATGAATGATCTGTGGATTCCATTCGTGAATTTTATTTCACCCATTTTTCGCGTTTTATCCTGTTTTTGGGAAGAGGAAAGGCGACTAGTTTAGCCTAGGACCCAACTGTGAAGTATACAATGATTTATATACAGTATTAGGATTTTGTCGGATGAATTCTAGGTACATCAGACGATTGTAAGTGAATTTGCGAGAAAAGCGCTTTTCAGAGGAATTGAATAACTTATTTTGTCTCAGAAATGAAGCTTTTACTCGATGTTTTCAGCTTGATTGTTTTATTATCACTAAAAATTTGAGCTAGATCGATTGAATAATATACTTGAGTAAATTAATGGAGAGCTACTGCATAACACGCGATTGTTGATGATAATTCATTGAAGAGGCATTACGACATTTTTGTGTTTGTGTTACAGCTCTGAAACATTCCCCATCGAAGAGAAAAAGCATTACGAGGCCCCTGAGGCCACTGGAGGGTGACTTTGATTCAACTGGTGAGTCAATTATTGGTTTTATCACTCTCGATAGCGAGCACCCCTTCCACGGAATACAAATTATCTTCTCAATTCATGAAAAACCACCCCACGGTTCATTTTTTCTTTCATAAAAAGGCAAGCGAAGATCCAAATGCATTCGAAATAAATGTGCCGTTAATGTATCACCCATTGCGACCACCTCGGCATATCCCAGTCCCACTTGCAAGACAATCCAGGAGCTTTAAACTGTCTCAATTGCTCAAGCATCAATTTACTTGCCGTTCTGTCACTCGATGAAAAATCCAATTTTACTATGTAAAGATTATTTGATATGGTAATTGGGTATTGTGTGATGGTTTAGTGGTGACGGCGGTTGGAAGTACGATGCATGCAACATCACCCACGAAAGCTGGTGAGTCATCTGCAACTCATTCGTCATTTTATTTGATGCAGTGGCTTGTTTGGATATGAGCTGCTGCTGAATCCTGATGTTTTTTCATTGAAAATATTGTGGGAAATTTTCTGGGGAGAGTTTTGGGGAATGCGAAAAGGCCCTTTGACGTTTTTTTATAAATCTGTTGATAATATTATTGTCGAATTTCAAATTTATGATGTTTTAGTTGAAGATGAATCGGTTTTTTTGCGAATATCTCTGAAAATAGTGGGTTTATCGAAAAACTTTAGAGGACATGTTTTGCAGCCCCTCAAATTCTCCACGAAAAGTGTTCTCTGACTTTTTTTCGGAAATCAGTTAGTTCTCGAGATGTCCACAGAGCGATAATGTCAGATAAATTTTTATCGTATTTCGATGCATGAGTTTTGCGCGAATATCTGCGAAACTAGTGGATTTATGAAAAAACATCAGAAAATCTTTTTTGCGGCTCATGAAATTCCCCACAAAAATCTCTCCTAACATTTTTTCTTAAAACCAATAGTTTTTGAAATATTCCAAGAAAAGTACCTCTCAATTATCATTAAATGGGTGTGCACGAGACTCTACCAAGGTAGAGATTGACAATTATTCGGATAATCGGAAATCCCTTTCAAGAAATTGAGTATTATCTACTTGACAGAAAATTTATAGTTCCACATTTTTAAATATTCAATTCATCATCAATTGGAAATTTAGGTTCTTAATTATTTTACTATTTTTAAATTTCTATTAGCATATTTAAACCTTGATTTTCGTAAGTCGGAAAATCCTTTTAATATTGAAGAAATTAATATTCATGACCATCTCTGGACCAGAGAACTATTCCTTCGAAGCTGAGAAAGTCCCCCAAAATTCCCGTTTGTTCCGACCAAGAAGTCTCCTCTGACCCCCCATCAACAAATATATAAAAAATATATATAATAGGGGCCAATTCCATGTATTTTACATATTTATAAAGAATGCATAAAAAATACACATAAAACATATATTTAATTTTTTTTTTACTCGTAAATATATATAAAACATATTTTATATATATTTTTTTATATAAATTGGGCGAATTCAAGATATTTTTAAATATATTTTCCAAAATATAAATTTTTCCGTGTGAGTCTCGTGCGACCTAAAAAATGAAGCCACCTCAGTCCCATCCGCTGTAAATAGTCCCCCCTCATGACTAATATCACTCATAAAAATCTGTCTCTCTCACTCTCCCCCACCCCCCGGAAACAGTGAGCCCAACAAGTCCCGAGGGTGTTCCACCGGTGACCACCGGTCCAATAATCTCGCCGAGTTCAGTGCCAATAGCGACCTCCACCCCCGTCAACGTCCCCACAACGGTTCTCGCGACCTCGACAAGCGGTGGAATAACCACAGGCCCACCTCCACTATCCGTCAACTCGTCCCAAGTCCGTGCGAGTTACCCGGCAGTCCTCAAAGGCCGATCAGCAGCCAGTCCACCGAATCCAAATCTGGTGCCATCAGGAAAGATTCCACCGCCAGTTCCACCCCGTGGCACTGGTAAACGCGCGAGTATCGACGAAGTACAGCGCGGCAACGTGTCATCATCATCGTCGACATCCGGTCGAGGTGATGTCAATGTCGCGTATAGTTTGCATGAACCTAAGACCATTGATCCACATGGCATTCACCAGCCACCAAGATCGCCGTTGCATGTACCCAATTCATTCCACTCTAGTCAGCGTCCCGACGCGCAGTTCCTAGCTCTTGGATACTTACATCCGGACCCCTATCTCCTGGAGGAGGAGGAGTTTGTCTGTGTGGAGAAGCTCAATGACTCCTACGTCATAAAGACGAGCCCCTGCCCTATAAGACCCGAGAGACGAAAAGGAAGAGCACCAAAGCCAAATCAACAGCTCTCGCTTCCTAAGGACGAAAGGACGATGAGTTCTGCAGAGAACGTCAACAGATTCACGCAGTTCCTGAAGCCCCATCGCGACGATCACTACAAAATGTCGAGGAAGGATAAGAAGCACTCGGAGACGTACGCCGAGAGGCTCAGGAGGAAGTCAAGCGAGTCGAAAAGGTTGAAGACAACAGCTGAGGAGGCCAAGACGCAGAAGCCTCCGAGGAACCCCACCTTCATGAAGCAGTTGAGCCTGATGACGAGCTTCGGTGAGCGTTCGCGAAAGCCACTGGAGGAGAATCCAACGAAAGTGAAGATCAAGTCCTACAGGATGAAGAAGAGGAAGAAGAGGATTGCGCCGAAGCCTTCTTTGAGAAAGCAGGTCGTTGATTCCTTGACGAATCTGAGGAACAACTCGCTCGCTCGCAGGGCCGTCGTCACCCAGAGCTCCAACGGCATCAATGTTCGTCGTGAAGGGAAATTTGGGAGGCAGAATTTATCTGCCATGGACAACAGAGGGTTCTCTTCGAGTATGACTAGTCTGAGAGTCGCATCTCCGAATGTCAGGCTTGATGGGGAGAGACTTCCAGACACCTGCAAGCCTCATCTCTCGGATGATCAGTATCTGAGTTATCTGAAGGATCAGGGGAGGGAGAAGAGTCCCGCGTCGAGAAACACTTCCTTCCTGCATGGCTATGAATGACTTTCACTCATCATTTATCAGACAATTCTTTAGTTTAGAGTGGGGATTTTTGTTTCAGGAGTGAAGTGAGTAAAATGGAGGGAGAAGTTGCTTTGATCAAGGGAATTTGAGTTTATCAAATGATGATGTTTAGTTTGAAATGATAGAATGAAATTGTTAGTTCGAAATGACAATGAGACCATTTGTCCGACGGTTTTGCCACTTCACTACTGATTTATTCCTCAATCTGTCATTTCATCGTTGATTGCTGTCCACTATTGTGCATGCTAGTCTGTTGATGTTTACCGTTGCTAGTTTTGTGGTTTTTATGTAGAAAGATTCTTCTGTCCCACCAATCTTGCACAGATCTTTACTTTAATTATTTGAACGATGGAGAATGGGAGAGTGATGAACTTGTCAGCAAATGTCCCAACGAAATAGTCAGCACTTTGGATTAGATTGAGTTTTCCCTGGATATTGTTGATTTGACAGTGTGGATTATTGAATTTGTTCGTGTCACTGTGTGCTGCTGTTGATCTAGGGCTAATTGTAGGGCGCTTTTTCGTAGGTGGCACCCTCCCATCAACCTGCTCCACCCCACCCCCACCTTTTGATGATGCTGTGAGATCCAACGATCAGACACTGGCCTCGGGTGGTCTACAGACGACTGTCACTCATGTCAAGCAGAACAAAACTGTTCATCATGTCACGCTCAGTACCAAGACGTATCACGACTCTGTCAGGTATGTGAGGGTGTATCGGAGAATAGGATTTTCAAGGGGTTAGAAAAAAATTGACATTTTGAGAATAGGTGACGATCAATTTTTGGGGAAGTGTTATGATTTTGGTTTAGGGGGAAGAAATGAAGAAATTTAAGATTTCACAGAAAATTTAATGGAATTCCAATTTTTTTTGCAGTAGAAATTGCAGATTTCATTATGAAATTACAGATTTTATTGAAAATTAAATTAAATTCTAAATTTTTTAGCGAAATGTGAAAATGCAGTTACAAATTTCAAAGATTTTCCAATAAATTGAAAATTCAAAGATATATTTACGTGTATTTCGTTGATTTACATGAATTTTCATAAAACAATTGAACTGAAATTTACTTTTCATTGAATTATCCATCAAAGTGTAAATTTTCAATGACGAAATTCCTTAAAATTCCAGTGGAACTACAACTCAATGAAAATCATCCACAACTGCACCGGAAATTTCAGCTCTAAATTTTTAACAACGTATCCCACAAGACATCTAAAAAACAAAAACAAGTGGATGTAAAAATTGAGTGAAACCCCTTGACTTGAACTTTCAATAAAAATTCCCTGATTTATCAGAGAATTGAAGATTCAAGAATATTCACTAGAATTTTCCTGATTTCCATCAATTTTCATAGAATAATTCAACTAAAATTTCTAATTTCCATTGATGTTTCCATAAAATTTTGAATTTTCGATGGCAAAACTTCTTGAAATCCGGAAATTTCAGCCATAAATTGTTAACAATGCGTCTCAAGACATAAAAAAAAGTGGATGTAAAAATAGAGTGCAACCCCTCCTCCAAATGACAAAACAATGCCAATGAATCTCTAATGTACTCCCTATTTTCTCAAAGTATATCAGATGTTCATCTCGAGAGCAGCGGAAGTGGTGGCAGTGGTGGTCGTGAGACAAAATCGTCCTTGAGCGTCGAGAGTGGAGGTAGCAGTCGAGGGGGTGGCGGACTCACCTGGACGCCACCAGCAGGTAGTGCCGAGGGATCAACCCCCACATGGACAGAGGGTACCCCGTCCTTCACTGAGAGCTCGAGCAGTGGTGACATAGGTAAGTTCGTTATAGCTCTCAACCTGTACTTCGAGTCCTGAAGGGATACTTCCAGTCCACCGAGATGTTCAACATATTATCTTGCATTATTGTCATTAACAACTGTATCTTCATCATTCGAGAAAAACTGGGAGAGAGGAAGTCTGGTATTCGTGTCTGGTATTTTTCTACGATTATTGTTGGACTTCTGAACAATTGTTCGAGCCACTCGAGCCAAATTGTGAATTACAAAGTGCTGTTTAATTTATTCTGAATGCTGTTGTTAAGACTGCTGTTGTAATCGTCCCTTGATCCTAGGATTAATGTCTTAAGGGAGATTTTAGGGATTTTTTCTGTCACGCGAAAGCATTCGTTGGGATTTATGGCCAATTGTGATTATTCATGTCTGAGAGTTTAAATTGAGCGAATTCTTTCGTGATAATTTCATCGGTTGTACACACTCAACAATAAATGAGTTTTTTTAAAATTATAAATAGCTCTGTTTAGTTAATCAAGAGATAATGAAACTATTTGGATTATTCGGACAATAAATATCACAAATTCATACACTACAAACGTACGTAGCACTTTAATAAATCTAGTTAATCATCTTTCAAACGCATTATCAGCATTAAATTTCAACTGACATCCATGTGATACAGAGGAGATTCCATATCTCATGATTGTTCAATTTTCAAGTCTACAGTCGCTTAGGACCGGCGAGCCTCGAGATAAGTTCAGTCTTCAGTTTTAATCGTTTTATTTAATTCTATTTTTGTGGATTTTTTTTTTTTATTATCATCAAGAGTCATCATCACGCTAACAGAATCACGCTTCAACATTCACCTTGACACAGATTCATTGGAATTTCTGTTGTTTTCTCTTCAAATCGTTCTTGTAACGTTCAAATATCTAATATTCGTTTAATTTGACAGTCGTAATGCTAATTAAATTCAGCAGAGCTTTCATACTGGGCTAGATCATCAGTTTACGTCAGCAGGCACACACGCCTTTCTTTATTGGTGGAGGTGGCTGTGGAGTGGGGATGATGGGGGCATTCGGTGTTTTTGGAATTATCTCGGAAATTCATGATTTTGGGAAGAAGTGGTAGGATTTTTTTGCAGGCAATTGAATTTAAAAAAATGTTTTTTTTACATTTTATTGAATGGTTTAGACAACAAATTGTAATTTTACTTTTGATTTTTTTTCTAATTGTGAAGTTATCTAAAAAAACGTTCTAGAGGAGAAATCAGATCTTTCCGGTGGAGAATAAAAATTTAAATGAAATCTTATTTTGAAATTTTCTCTTCAAAATATTTATTTTTGACAGAATTTCATAATTAACAAAATTTGTAAGAGAAAACACTTATTTTACTTTTAAAATGTCTGTCATTGTGGATTTAACTCAAAAACTGATGATTTCAGAATGAATTTCCATAAAATATGTCTTATTTATTTTGAAATCACTAATTTTTAATATAATTTGATACTTAATAACACCTAAAATCACTTCGAACTAATGATTTAAAAAAAAATCTTTTGAGGTTTTTTTTGTAGAAAATTAGTTGTCAGCAAAAAATTAAATAAATTAAAAAATAGTTCAGTAGCGAAGTGGTAAAACGGTTTAAGTCGATTTATCTCCCAGTTGAATTTTGGGGGATTCTTCCGAATCTAAGGGAGATAGCGAAATTTTCCTAATCACATTTGCTGTAGCTCTCAATCTCTCAATCAAAGCTCTCTTAGATTCCGAGATATTCATTGAAAACTGGTCAATAGTCAAAATTGACGTTTTACCACTTCGCTACTGAATTAATTTAAATTAATTGCAACCCATTGTCGAGATAATTTAATATTTAAGGACATGCCACCACTTCACAACTGCCTCTTCACCATCCCCAACATTTGTTCCCCCACCTTCCTCAACCCTCCGATGCCACATACCCACCGAAATCCGAGTAAAGACAGTGCGGGGAATGATTTTAGGTTGTCCAACAACACCGACGAAAGGTAATCATCGTAATGACGTTGGGGGAAGAGTTGCGGCTACTGTTGAAGAGGCACTTGCTAGTCTTACTACGGAAATGGTGAGTTCAACCCCAAAAAAATGTTTGAAAAATGTTAAATGGCAGATGCACTAGACAATCATCACAAGTCATTCGCTGAGAGTCTGTTAATTTATTTTTACGTTCTTCACTATTCAACAATATCAGTGCATCTACCTTGCTCGGTCTACATCACGATTTTTTAATGCGTTATCACCGTGGCCGCTTGCTGAGCAAACCTGAAAATTGTATGAGTTTTATTTCTCAATCATTTTGTTCGATCAGTTACAAGAGGTATTGTCACGCTTTTTTTGCTTGTTTAATTGTTCACAAGTTTATGTGATTAACCGTTGATTATGAGTAACACTTGGATTATTCTGTTGTGGAGGGGATGGGAGAGTGAGTGGAAGAGAAATTGGTGGGCAGACTATTTTGTAAATTGCTGGAAAATTGAGAGGTTTAGAGAAAAATACGAACGGAAATTTGGAAGAGATGTCAAAGACTTTCGAAAATTTTGTGAGAATTTTCGCATAAATTCAAGTTTTCGGATTGAGATTTCAGATTTTGGAGAGAATTTAACGAACTTGGTGTCGGAAAATGTGAATGAATGAATCGATTGGGATGTAACTATTATCATTAGACATTTTCGCAGAATGGAATGTTAAAAAAGAATTGAAATTTCACGGACGGTTCAGTAAATTCAATGGAATTTCACATTTTTAGGGAAAGGAAGATGAGAATTTTACTATTCCCGTGAATTTTCAATTAGAATATGTATATTTAGTATTGAATTATGCAGAATTTTATTTCATTAAAAATTCAAAAAAATATTCATTCGGATTTTTCAGATTTCTATTTATTTTCGTGGAGCAATTGAACTGAAATTTAATGTTTTCGTTGATTGTTCTGTCAAATCGTGAATTTTTAGTGACCGAATTTCTTGAAATTCCAGTGGAATTCTCATTTGAAAAAAATTCCCATATAATGTATCGAAAATTACAGCATAAAATGATGAACTTGATATGACATTTCAAGAAATATCCCAGAATTGATGAATTCCTCCACAAAATTTTTGACATTCCACTAGAATTTCATGAAATGAAAGAAAAAATTTCAATGAAAGACTGATTAAAATAACCCGGGGATAATACAGTAAAAATACTTTCTCTCTAAACTTATCAATTTCCAAGATACCCTCAAAATAACGTAAATAACATTTCTCCCTCATCGTTTCCCCATTCTCCCACAACCGAATTAATTAACCAATTAAAAAAAAATATCGCTATTTGGGGTACCACCGTCTGAACGAAAAAAACAAAATGTTTGTGTATGCACAAATTAGGAGATACTGCAACGAGAATGAACTGCACTTGGTCAATAATAATCACCACAGTGGGGAATGCACAACGGCTCTCGCATTATCTCCGCCGAAATCTGGCCGATTTGAGGATATGAATGATTTGAAGACGGAGAGGGTCGTAAATACAGGTGGAAAGAGCGTGTGATTGTGCCCCCTTCGTTGTGTTCAAAATTCTACGTGTATACGAGCCTTTCACTGTTACTGTATTCTGAAGTTATTCCATTCGTTTTAATCCCCCATTATTTCAAGCCAATGTTGTGGCCGATTAAATTATAACGACAACGACTGAACGATTATCGGATCTGTAATCTCGTGATCATGATTATTCCGGGCATTATCGTATTATTCGAGATCACTGGTTACATGGAGCTGTATTCTATCGCGTTATTCCATGTTCAAAATGTTTAGAATTGATACTTTTATTTTAAAGTGGACAGAGCATTTGGCTGTTGAAGTTCTTTTATTCGGGAAATGAGGAAATATGAAAATCATTGGGTAGGATTTCTTTTATTTTGAAGAACAAATAATTTGTTATTCCTCAAAATAATGAATATGTGCATATCTAATATTTTTCACTCGATTCTTGCATTCGAGAATAAAAAAACTTCACGCAAAACTCGAGTTTATGTTGCTTGTAGGAAGTTCATGTGGTTTCTTCGATGATTCCGATATTGACATTCCAATGGGAAATTTAATTGTTTCGTCTTGAATTGAATAGAAAATCCTAGCGTTCTCCGTAAGAATTCTACTGGATTTTTATTGGAATTCCACTAACATTCAACATTTTTCAATAGATATTCGATGAAAAAACGTCAATTAATTTTTTTATATAAATAATTCTTTTGAAATTCTTTAGAAGTTTCTGGAGGATTTTTCCATTACAAAATGTCCAACCAAAAAATATATAATTTATTTCCACATTTTTATAGAAAAATGAATATCTATTTTGAATGAATATCATTGAATATCATTTTTCTCTGTCAAATATCGATTGACAACCGCATGAAAAAAGTGCAATGGAAATTCAGAAGATTTTCATAGAGAAATCGCTCGGCTCTTCCAAATTTTCGTCACATGAAAATTATTCTTGAAATTTCCTTCGAGTTGAAGCCTAGAAATGAGAGAAACGTAATTGTACATAATAGATTTGTGAGCAAATATGATATTTCTTACGTAACTTATTGAAAGCAGTGAATTTGTAATTCACCGTTGCGTTCTGTCTGTGTCTGTAACTATAAATATATAAACGTGTCCGTGTATTATACAAGACGTTTGACAAGATGATTCGAGTGATTAATAGGATTGTGGATGAGAATGCATCTATTATAGAAAGATCCAGAATGCCTTATTACAAGTGGAGCCATTTGATTCTCCTGGATAAAAGTAACTCCGGGATATACTCAAGCATAAATCAATGTTATTGTATATCGTATTATTCTCTGATTGATGACTATAATCCCAGTAATTCAGGATTAAAAATGTGCCACTTTTCGCGGTCGTCTATCAAACAAATGATGAAACGTTTGTCGCTAGACGTTTTAAACCAAAATGTTGTTCAGCAATGATTGATATGATTGAGTAATAGTTAAGTCTCCTGGCATTTATGAATGTGACTCGTGTATGGGAGTCCCTGGGGGTGACATTTCGAGGGAATTGTCGATAATTCATCCTCAGACTGTTGAAACAGTACTTAGTGTCGCATTTATTACTGTATAGAGAGTCTGTGGTTCACTGCTTTCGCCTTTGAGGCTTGGAGATTTTTTTTTTCTTCACTCTCAGGTCTTTATTTTGCTCAAATTGTCGATGTCGTGGACGTTAAACTGGCATGAAAGTACTCGATTCACGATGAGCATTGGTGTCCGTATTTTGGGACATAATACTAAATCATGGGGTTTTATTCGGTTGTAACGTGGGGGAAGAAGGGCATAAGTAAAGGGATGTCGCGGAACTGAAGGGAAATTACAAAATTTTTGTGAAGATTTTTTTTTAGAGAATCTCCAGGGGTAGAATGAAGAGTGTTTAAGGGTTTTCGGTCCTCCTTTTTATTTAGACGTATTTATCTCGGAATTTAGGAGAGATAGCGAAATTTTTGAATGAACCTTTTTTATAGACAATTTCAAGAGCTACAAAAAAGGTTTTTATGAAAATTTTCGCATCTCCTTCGGATTCAGAAATATTTAGCTAAGAAACTGAGAAATTTGACTATTTTTTCAAACGATAAAGCAATTTGTGAAATCACTTAATTTTTTGAAATTTTTATAACGATTTTATATATTTCAGTTTTCTAAAAAAAAATTTTGATTTTTCCTTCAGATTTCGTCAAAAATAATCCTGAAATAATGTCAATTCTTTCCCTTTTCCGCCCACTTTACAATTGCATTAGTCACATAACCGCTGATTCATATTAATTTTCACCATCAATGTGCTTGCTTTCTCTGTGCTGTTACTTTAATCTGTAAATGTTGGGTCAGAGCTAAATAACGATTGAGTATAAATACCTAAAGATGAAAAATGAAATGAAAGAAAAAACGAAAAAAAATACAGAAACAGAAACAGAGCGGTGGATCGCATGGGAAATTGGATGGAACAGAGATAACTGATTGGCAGAATGGATCCGGCTCGGAGGATAGCAGCTCGTCTCATTTAGAGGCCGAGCGAGCCAGGAAGCCGAGGAAGCCTCGACGACGTTGAATTAATCTCCATTAACGAGGATATTAAAGTTTTAATGATTAATGAGAATTAAACACTCATGCCCGTTTAACTGATTACAATAATGTGTCAATCAAATAATTGTGGGATTACCGTCTTGCCATTTTAATCGAAAGTTTATATCATGTCAATTCAAGGGAATTATGCAGACGTCTACCAGACATATCTCGTTGACAGGTGAATTTATTTCGATTTGTTCATTAGTCGTGGGTCGTGGAATTGATTGTTCAGAGATGTTATATTTTTTACTGATTTGCGAGAGTGATGGTTAGATTAGAAAATCCTTCATTGTGTTGTATTCATTCGGATTCATTTGTGATGAGGTCAAGTGATTTTATTTCGAAACGGGTTTCTGGAGAATATCTCGGAATTTAAACCTCGATCACTCGCGCTCGGCCGCCAGTCTTCATCCGTCTCCCGCGACGCTGGGTTAAACCGCGCGTTGTTGCCACCTTGCCGCTTACCGCTATGCGCGCATTTCAAGTGTGGCAGGGAATGTAGCAACATTGGCGCTCGAGGAGTCGACAAGGACTCACTCGCACCGGACGGCGCGACGCCGCTTCCCATCCGTTCGACGTTTTTTTCTTCTTTTAGCTAAACAAATTTCGCGGGAGAAAAACGGACAACGCCAACGCTTAATGAAAGGATTGAACTAGGAACTCTAATTTTTTCAGAATTTTTAAACGTCGCGAAACACGTTAAAATATTTAAAAAAACAAAACGAGTGGTGCCGCGCTCATTGAGCGAGTGATCAAGGGAAAATTTCTATCTTTGAGTGATTTCGAGATATTGTGCAAAAACTTATTTGATGTGAAGAAATTGAGTCATCACTTCGCAGAAGATTTTCCTTCATCTCAATCCAGGGGGTAATCACTCGGAAAAAAGAGAGTTCTGAAATAGTTTTGAGATTTAAAGACATTTTATGAAAATTCGAAGGAAATTTATTTAGTTGCAAGTTGTTGGCGTGAGGCTCCGGATTTCGGAAGGGTTTTTGAGAATTCAATAATACTTTGAGCTTAAAATTTTCAGGAATGTCAAATTTACATGAAATTTCTGGATATTTTGTTGTTGGAAAATTAGCTGATTTCCTGAATATTTGATGGATTTCGAAATTTCAGGTCTTTATGAAAACGAAACTCATCACATGCAATTTACATTATTCATTTTATTACATTTACATTAATTTTTACATTATTCTAATAGAATAACGTAAAAACTTAGTCACCTATTTTTCAGGACTCTCAATCTATTGATAATTCAATAGAATGTAATGTTCGTAATCGTAATCTTCGGAGTAAATTGAGGAATTCGACCTTCCAAATGAATTTTCAAAACGAAATTTAATTCAAACTCACTTTATTCTCAACTAAGGGATCAGACGCTTCTGATTATTTTCCTCTCGTTTATTCAATTTTCATGACAAACATTTGAACATAACATCATATAATGAACGAGTGAAATAATTGAGATGCAGAATTACCATTAGAATACACAAAAAACGTAAAAGTGAAATTAAAATTACATTTCTCAAGGACTTCCTGAATTTCGAAAGATTACCCCCTTGATTTGCCCCATAAAACACGTAAAATTCTCACCACATTACTCCCTTAGCTTTATTTTTAATACTCTCCCTCTCATCCCGCATTTATCGCTAAATTACCCAAAATAATCCGAGTAAATACACTTACGGAGGAGCGGTATCAGCGCGTTGTGCTGCATATGTAGACTTTCGAGCGGCCTAATTATTGTAAGAAGTGACATTAGAATACTCAGAACACATGGTAAACCGGGAATGGATCACAAATCACAAATAAAAAAAGAATCATAGTATTACACCCAGCATCACTGTATATTATGTACTTGTAATGTAGTTAGACGTGCACGGGGATTACGTTAATTGCAATTTCATGGGTGATGTTGAATAAATAATAGATAATGGTGGCCAATTGTTAATCGATATCGAGTTAAGCTCTCTCTCTCTCGTTGATTCACTCGAGTGTCTGCTAAATGAATGGGCGGAGTACTTACTGCATAGGAAGAACAAATAAATTGTCGATTATTGCTTGCAAATCACGCGGAAATATGTCTGTGAGTGAGACGAATAAGTGATGAGGATGTGTATATTGCTTAGGAGCGAGGCTTTTGCGGAGTTCTTTTACTTTATCCGAACAAAAAAATTAATAATTAAAAACTGAAGGGATGATGACGATGATTGTTTAATCGTAATGAATCATTACTTGACGATTGTCCCAGTAATTAATTATAATTAATGTAACAATATGCCGTTCCAATGTTATTATAGTCGAGGCATCGTTTTTATTAAACGCTCGTTGGCAGTTGTGAAAGAAAAATTAACAAAAGTAATCGGCTTTTGTTGACTTTTTTGTTATTGATGTGTGGATTTTTGGTGATATTAGATTTTTGGATATATCTCATCCTGATTTTTTTTTTTATTTCCACCCTTTCAGACCCACCTATAGCCAAGCGAGTGGACCGAGTGTATTTATACTGTGACTGAGAGCAAATTATACGATTGGTTTTGTTCGGAATACTTTGGAGATTTAGAGGGTTTATGATTGAATATTAATCATGTGGATGGAATTGTTAACGGCGGAGATATTTAGGTAAGGAGTCTGATAATTCCGTCATGAATCATTTGAGACTTGTAATTTAATTAGGTGAATTGATGAATTGTGCACTATTATCTATAAGAGCATTTGCTGGTTGGCTTAGGTAATTTATTCGATGGAAGTTCAGGTTTATTAATTTAATTGTCGTCTGTCGCGTCTCTGGTTGTTCAGAGATTGTGATGAGACGTGGGAAATGTCCAAGTTGCGAGCGTGCAATGGAAAACGGTGTCTCGAATCTAGTATTTTTTTTAGCTCTTTTTCTCTGTCTTGAGTTCACGCTGTGGGTTAAGACGATTTGAAAGTGTCAGTGCAGACGGATTTTATTATTTTAATTATTGAAATACTTGGGAATTCACGCTATAAATGTTTATGCTGTCGGTGAATTCGCATTTACTTTGTCGAGATAGTAATTGATGCGTTTATGAAGTAACGATACCTCAATTCGTACACGTAAGAGGAAAACAAAATGCAAAAACGTGTTGTATGATAAATGATCATGAGAATAAATTATTGTTACGTCCTATTCATTTAAAAAGTGTTTTTGATTTTTTATTGGGTATTCCTTGTTATCGTTGATTGTGTCCAGTTGGTGGAGGCTGAGACTCGAATAGGGATGGGCGATGTTTGTGGATTAATCAAAAACAGAATTTTTCATTTTTTTATCGAATAATAATGTTATTAATTGATCGGAACAAAAATAATTTATCCGCAATCAGAACTAATTATTTTTTACGGTATCTACGTTATAAATGGTAAGTGGACAAATCCAGTCTATTGTTTTTTTAATTTAAATTTTTAACAATTGTTGCAGCTAAAGCCCAGCCACGAATAATAATATTCAATATACTTTTTTCAATTAATCAACAACCCTGTTTCGAAATTCTAAATTTAACTCTCCAGCAGTACTTGTCATTGAAACTTAAGTTCCTCGGGTTGTATTTTTTAAATATATATTTTTCAATAGAAACGAGAAGAAAAAATTGTTAAAAAAAATTTTTTTTTCCTGCGTAATGATAAAAAACATCATTTTATTAAATAACCGATGTTTGTTCATCGTTTTTTCACCTCTTAGTCCGCAGGGAATCACTCCCCATGAGACGATCCCCACCCCTTCTCAATTAGCACCGCTTCTCCTTATTAGCGGACCCCCTGAGTCTCTCTGAATTAAAAATCCGAGATAATTGAAAAGAATTGGGACAGAGTGGAGTAGACACTTACGTTGTGTGAGAAGAATTCATAGGTCAGAGGTCCAGTGCAAATATTCGTTGCACAGTCGTCGAAATATTTTATTCTAATTCAACCATAATCTTGTTCTAATTTACCATAATAGTTTGAAATTTAACAGGTCCATAAAGATGAACATATTCGCTTCGAGGTAATGATGAACAAAATTGTTTATTCCAGTTATCCAAGTACCCCAGGTACTTGTGAATTATTAAAATGATAATAAAAATAAATAATAATTTTAATAATTAACTAAATTGTTTATTTCAGTTATCCAAATACCCCAGGTAATGAACAATTAAAATAAACAATTTTGTTCATCACGAATGTTTATGTTTACGCCGTCAGTGAATTCGCATTTCATTCGTCGATATAGTAATTGAAACTGCGAAAGAGGAAAAACAAAATGCAAAAACGAGATGTATGATAAATGATCATGAAATAAATTACTGTTACGTCCGATTCATTTGAAAAGATTTTTTATTTTTCATTGAGAATTCCTTGTTATCATCGATTGTATCCAGTCGATGAAGGCTGAGACTCGAACGTAGACTGAAGGGGCACCTCTCAGTCCGCAGGGAATCACTCCCCAGGAGACAATCCCCACCACTTCCCAATTAGCACCGTTTCTCCTTATCAGCGGACCCCCTGAGTCCCCCTGCATTAAAAATCCGAGGTAATTTGAGAGAATTGGGAAAGAGTGGAGGAGGCACTCACGTTGCACGGGGAGAATCCTCCAGTCAGTGGTCCACTGCAAATATTAGTCTCGTGGAGGGTCGCAGCTCCTCCGAATGGGATGAGAGCTCTCCTGCAGGTCCTCAGGGAGATCAGAGGGATGTCCACAGAGAGGAGGACGTTCCCCAGATTTCCTCCGCTGGGGTCCGTCGCGCCCCAGCCTGTGACGGTGACGTTTCCCGTTGGGATCGCCCCTGGTTGGGGGAGATTTATCGGCTGCACTGCGGTTGTCCAGGTCAAGGGCATTGTCAGTCGGAGGAGGCCTATGTCGAAAGGAGCGACGTCGCTATGAAATAGAGAGATTCATTCTCAAAATCAAGCAGTTGATTAATTAATTAAAATAAAAAAGGTTAATTAATTACTAAAATTTTATTTTTTAAGAATTAAATTTCCAAGAAAAAATCACTTCTTGTGCTATTCAGAATTAATTGATTCTCAATTCAATTGAATGGGGCAGTAATTAATTAATTAATTACCATTATTTTTTATTATTATTTAATGTTGATAAACCGACATTTAAAAAGACAATTTCCCAAATTTTTGTTAAGGAGTTTCACGCAATAAAATTTAAATTTCATTGTGTGAAACTCCCGAATTTCCAATAAAAAAATACTCTTTACATTAATTAATTAATTAATTGGGGGATCAGTTAGGTTAGTTGTGAATAAATTCACATTAATGTAAAGAGTAATTTTTTATTGGAAATTTAGGAGTTCCACACAATGAAATTTAAATTTAAACTTCTTAATAAAAAAATTGTGAAAGGAGCGACGTCTCTATGAAATAGAGAGATTCATTCTCAAAATCAAGCAGTTGATTAATTAATTAAAATAAAAAAGGTTAATTAATTACTAAAATTTTATTTTTTAAGAATTAAATTTCCAAGAAAAAATCACTTCTTGTGCTATTCAGAATTAATTGATTCTCAATTCAATTGAATGGGGCAGTAATTAATTAATTAATTACCATTATTTTTTATTATTATTTAATGTTGATAAACCGACATTTAAAAAGACAATTTCCCAAATTTTTGTTAAGGAGTTTCACGCAATAAAATTTAAATTTCATTGTGTGAAACTCCCGAATTTCCAATAAAAAAATACTCTTTACATTAATTAATTAATTAATTGGGGGATCAGTTAGGTTAGTTGTGAATAAATTCACATTAATGTAAAGAGTAATTTTTTATTGGAAATTTAGGAGTTCCACACAATGAAATTTAAATTTAAACTTCTTAATTAAAAAATTGTGAAATTGTCTTTTTAAATGCCGATTTATCTCGGTAACGACTGGGTTGACGAGAAAATGCCACAAAACGTTTTTTATCGAAAATTCAATTCCCCACAAAAAAGGTTTTATGACGATTCGTCCTACAATCACTTGTTCACGAGATAAGTTGACCATTTTAGAAAATATCGCATGAAAGCAATTTAGAAAATTTGAATGTGAAATTCACCCAATGAAATTCTCGTGAGCATAAGCTGCAGCAACTCTCCTGGACTGTTCCATAGTCTCCACTTGATTGAGAACATGTTTCCCAGCCCTCACGACTAGTCCCCCTATCTCCGGGATGGCATCGATGCAGTGGGCAGCTGTGAGAATCCACGATTGATTGATGATTATTCCTCCGCAGAAGTGTCTGGTGCTTGTCGAGGATAGAAAACCCCATTGGAGAGATACTTGATGGGGGTAGGAGTTCCTCACGACTTCCACTCCTCCGATGATTCTAGCGTCGAGGAAGATTTTGTCTTCTTTGAAATATCGACGTGATTCTATCGAGAATAATAAATAAACAGTCGATAATTTATGATTAATTAATTAAATAATTTTTTATAATGGCCCATTCATTAATTTTTTCCCATTCATTTTTGTTTCATCACTTTCGAACAGAAGACCATTGACATGAGAAGTAGAAAATAATTCTCTCTCTGATTGTTTCGAAATAAATCCGTGATTACTTTGAGAATAATGAATTAATAATCAATTAACAATTGATAAATTATGTTTAGTTAATCGTAACTTAGTTATCATCTATTTTTTTTTTTTTCTGTTGCACGTGCAGAATTTTCACTTCATGAAATACATTAAACCCACCAGTTTCTTGAATAATAAAAAACACTGCAAAAAACGAGATGATTCCCCAGCCCATGATGAACCACAATTGAAAAATGTTGCATTTTTCCTCTCTATTTTATACGGACGGATCATTTTCAAACCAAAGCCTCTGGTACCAGAAAACCAGAAGACCATTGAAGTGAGAAGTTGAAAATAATTCTCTCTCCGATTGTGAAAACTTAATTCCTTCCGTCCTGCATTCCTCCAGCCTTGAACTACATCATCTGAAGCCAATCTTCTCTCCGCAATTTTTTCTGGGTTACAAACTCATCGAACACGGCGTGGAGGATTCAGTCGAGGTGTTTTATTCCACTTCAAAGGTAATAATTTAACAATTTACAGGGTCAGATTGAATAAAAATATAGAGATCGATGAGGTAATTCGTAATTCCTTCAGTTTTTGGCGATTGTATCCTCGATCCAACTGATGAACGCTGATACTCTAGCGTAGACTGATGGAGCCCCCACACTGCCGCAGGGCATTATCCCCCAGGAGACGATTCCCACGACTTCGGACCTCGCGCCTGTTTTCGCGATCAAAGGACCACCAGAATCTCCCTAATGAAAAAAAAAAATTTTAGTAAACATTTCGATCAAATTCAGCAGGATAAATGGAAACTCATGATTTTGTTTAAATATTCATGATTTCGAAATAGAGAGAATTCCGTCAATGTCCAAGTTATTGCGACTTGATCCCTAAACATTTCTCGGGCTATTTTATGTAAATTGTGGAATTTTTTATTAACGAAGCTAATTCGTAATTTTTATTGCACATTTTTGGTCCAAAATTTTGAAAAGAAAACCTCTGTAGCTCAAAAATTGGAGGCCCTCAAGTATTTTTAGCATTTTAAGCGTCTGTGGGCCAAACGAACAGTGAACAATTAATTTTTTTGCACTAAGTATTCGTTTTTAGACATTTATAATCGATCTTCGGTGTATAAAAAATCTCATTCCAATAGTCCGTAACATTATTAGAAATTCATTCAATTTCCCGTAACGATTGCAATTGAATTCTCAATGTTGTGGGGTTTAATTTGATTTAAAATCATATTATTCATGAAAGTTCCCATTCATTATGAAAATTGAATATTAAATTTAATTGAATTGTCAATAAGTTGAAAATTCCATAAAATAATTGCCTGAATTTTTGTTATTTCTAATAATTTCCGTTGTCGTGTGAATCGGGAAATGAGAATTTCATTGATTATTCAAACAAGTCACCTGGTTTTTAGTAACAAAATGGAGATAAATTTCATGTAAATTAAGACCCGGTTGCACCAAGCCCTGTTATCCAAATAAACCCCAGAGTAAAATTTATCATCGGGGTCAATTATATCGTAGGGGTCACAATACTTCAATATTTGACCCGAAGGATTATTTTTTATTTATCCTGTAGCCCCATTTGAATTAACACTGATTTAACCTTGGGATCAAATTTTATTTTTTGTTTCTGGGATAAATTTGAGATACTCTCCCGCGTAAAATAATCCATCGAACATAAAAGTTTACTTTTCATCACGCTGTGACGAAAAGTGAACTTTTCGGCACGCTCCGCGTGCCTAAAAATCCAATTTCCGCCACATTGTGATGAAAAATATTGTTCGTAACTCGTGAAAAAATGTTTTTCAGCTCGTGGGATTATATCACGAGCCGAAGGCCTCCCACTCGCCAAAAAACACTTTTTTGCACTCGTTACGAAATATACTATTTTGCACTCGTTACGAAATATACTATTTCATCACGCTGTGACGAAAAGTGGACTTTTAGGCACGCGGAGCGTGCCGATTTCCGCCACATTGTGATGAAAAATATTGTTCGTAACTCGTGAAAAAATGTTTTTCAGCTCGTGGGATTATATCACGAGCCGAAGGCCTCCCACTCGCCAAAAAACACTTTTTTGCACTCGTTACGAAATATACTATTTTGCACTCGTTACGAAATATACTATTTCATCACGCTGTGACGAAAAGTGGACTTTTAGGCACGCGGAGCGTGCCGATTTCCGCCACATTGTGATGAAAAATATTGTTCGTAACTCGTGAAAAAATGTTTTTCAGCTCGTGGGATTATATCACGAGCCGAAGGCCTCCCACTCGCCAAAAAACACTTTTTTGCACTCGTTACGAAATATACTATTTTGCACTCGTTACGAAATATACTATTTCATCACGCTGTGACGAAAAGTGGACTTTTAGGCACGCGGAGCGTGCCGATTTCCGCCACATTGTGATGAAAAATATTGTTCGTAACTCGTGAAAAAATGTTTTTCAGCTCGTGGGATTATATCACGAGCCGAAGGCCTCCCACTCGCCAAAAAACACTTTTTTGCACTCGTTACGAAATATACTATTTTGCACTCGTTACGACATATACTATTTCATCACGCTGTGACGAAAAGTGGACTTTTAGGCACGCGGAGCGTGCCGATTTCCGCCACATTTCGATGAAAAATATTGTTCGTAACTGGTGAAAAAATGTTTTTTTTTTGCAAAAACACTTTTTTGCACTCGTTACGAAATATACTATTTTGTCTTATCTGAAGTTTTCATTACCCGGAGCTGGCGCAACCGGGCCTTAGTGTTGTTAAAAATTTCAATTTTTTTCATTTGAAATTTCAAGAGTAATTTTTTAACAGTGAACTGTTAAAACTCATAGTAGTCCCTTAAGTTGGAAGAAAATCTTACGCTGCAAGCAGACACTCCCCCACTCAACGGTCCCGTGCAAACGTTGTTATCGTGCAGAGGGGAAGGCCCCACGAGTTTCTCAAGTTGCTTCCTACAAGTAGCTAAATCCACAACAGGTAGAACAACTGTTTGCAGCTTCGCAGGGAGTGACAACCCACTGGGGGCTGTTGATCCCCACCCCGAGAGGGTGACGTTGCCAGAGGGGCGGGCTCCGGCCTTCGGTAGGTTGATCGCAGCAACCCTCTTGTTGAAGACCACCGCGGACTTCAGTTTCACGACAGCTACGTCGAAGGGAGCAACTCCTCTGTGAAGACAATCCTCATTTCAGTCCGAAACGAATGAAACGATGAAATTGTTTTCAATTCAGAGATAACCATATTCATAAATTAGAATTAGCGTTAAATTTTGAATTCGTCAATTCGTTAATATCACTCTACAAATATTTAATTGATAATTAATTTAGTAATTAAATGTTTGATGATGATTAATTTAGTAATTACATATTAAAATAATAATAACTGTAATATTTTAATTGATGATTAATTTAGTAATTAAATATTAAAATTCTGAATTGTGTAATCAATCAATAAAATTCCATTAGTCGCGCTATGAGCGCGGCGCCGGAATTTTTCCGATTTTTTAAATCACACTGCAGTCAAGCCTCAGAAAAATTTGAAAACTTGAAACATTTGAAAATGTCATCAATGAAGATATCCGCTAAAAATATAATAAGTAGTTAGATTTTCAAATTTTTATTCCGGAACTCCAGGCCGTGTACTGTGTATAAAGCGAATTTTTAGAAAAACATGGCAACTTTGAGCTTCAATATATAATTAAGTAACACTGAATATAAAAAATCTCATGGGACTTCTTCAAGTACACGATCTAATCATTCAAATTTATCATTATGTCGATTTATGCTGGTGCGGACCAACGGAGTGATAATTGAATTATGAAGATTGACGAATATGTGGTTAATCGAAAATTCTTTTTATGAAATGTAGCATTATTCACTCAATGGACAATCGAGAGTGCCATATTATCAATTATCCCACTCATCTTCACTCGGAAATTTAGATTATCAATTATTTCATTATTTTTAAATTTCGAGGATTACGTGTGAACTTCAATAAACCTAAGGCTCAAATCCTCTTAAGGATGTTCTACACCCTTTCTGCCAAAATTCAGGTATTTTTAATTTTTCTGGCAAACTTATGATGGAATTGACGTGAAAAAATATAACGTTTTTGCGTTTTGTCATTATTTAATGACTGACGAAATTTTAAGGTGGTGCGAACATTTTCCTGCGTTTTCTCTAAACTTTTAAAAAGAATCACAAAACTGTAGAAAAAACGCATGAAAATTATCGCACCACTACGCAACTTCGTGAGCCATTAAAGAATGACAAACCACAAAATCGTTATATTTTTTCACGTCACTCCCATCGATAATTTGCCAGAAAAATGAAAACAACGTCAATTTTGGCTAAAAGGGTGTCGAACATCCTTAATATTGAAGAATCTAATATTGATCAGAACAGTAAACAATTCATTTTTACTGTTGTTTTTATTTGATGGTCATCCCCGTTTCAATTGGACGAGTTAAGAAATTCATTCATGATGTACCCTGTGTAGTTCTTGTGAACGAATGAAGCAGCGACCTCGATCACTTGCTCCTCCGCTTCTTTCTCCTTCAATGAGTGCTTTCCGAGTTTCACGACGAACGATCCAAAGCTGGGGACAGCTGCGATGCAGTGGGCAGCGGTCAGGACCCATCGATCGTTGATAATCGACCCCCCGCAGAAGTGACTGTAGGGTGTCAGTGGAGGCAGGCCCCACTGCAGCGATGCTTGGTGAGGAAAAGCTCCCTTGACTGCTTCACTTCCTCCGACGATTCGAGGGAGTCCGGGAGGGTCGACACTCAGGCCCAGGAACGGGCCTTGTTCTGTTGGGGAAAAATTATCGTCTGGGGATTGTCTTCTGGGGATGATGTCTAATGACTCTTCTTCTTTTATTTCACGAATGGAAAAGAAATCGATTTTCAAAAGCGAAATTTCCAAACGTAATTCACAGTCGAAATGAATTATGTTTGGAATTATTTTTTTTTAATTCAATCGTATTCACTCCGCAATCATCGAAAAAATTATTCATTCTCTTTAAAAAATATCTCGCGGAATTCTTGTATTTCACGAATGAAAAAGGAATCGATTTTCAAAAGAGAAATTTCCAAACATAATTCACAGTCAAAAAGAATTATGTTTGGAATTATTTTTTTTAAATTCAATTTGTATTCACTCCGCAATCATCTAAAAAATTATTCATTCTCTTTAAAACATATCTCGCGGAATTCTTGTATTTCACAAATAAAAATGGAATCGATTTTCAAAAGAGAAATTTCCAAACATAATTCACAGTCGAAACAAATTATGTTTGGAATAATTTTTTAAAAATTCAATTTGTATTCACTCCGCAATCATCTAAAAAATTATTTATTCTCTTTAAAAAATATCCCGCGGAATTCTTGTATTTCACAAATAAAAATGGAATCGATTTTCAAAAGAGAAATTTCCAAACATAATTCACAGTCGAAACAAATTATGTTTGGAATAATTTTTTAAAAATTCAATTTGTATTCACTCCGCAATCATCTAAAAAATTATTTATTCTCTTTAAAAAATATCCCGCGGAATTCTTGTATTTCACAAATAAAAATGGAATCGATTTTCAAAAGAGAAATTTCCAAACATAATTCACAGTCAAAAATAATTATGTTTGGAATTATTTTTTTAAAATTCAATTTGTATTCACTCCGCAATCATCTAATAAATTATTGCTTCTCTTTAAAAAATATCTCGCGGAATTCTTTTAATTCAGGAATGAAAACGGAATCGATTTTCTCTAATTATTCATTATTCATTCCGATCAACTTCAATCAATTTTTGGTGAACTCACCGGCCTGCCCAACCGCCAGGAGCAGAGCCACACCGAAAACGACCTCAGAAGCCATGTCGATCGATCACTAATCATTTTTCCAGGCTTTCCCTACATTATATACCCGATCGACGATAAACGCATGAGAGCAAGAACTAGCGCGTAATTCCGATGACTTTTCCCAGATGCACTCATCGATAATAATTGACAAAGTAATATCGATTTTTCCAGGAGACTTTTATTCCACCGCTTATCGGTTATTATCAATAGCTTGCAGTCTTGAGCCACTTGCGGAGGATTCTGTTTTCCACTCAACAAGTGTGATCAGACTTTTTGTCCCGTAATTGATCGATCTCCACGTGGTATCGTGATTGATGATAGTCCATAGGTTTATTTATTTATCGGGGTGTTGGAAAAATGAGAGATAGTGGAAGGAATTCCCGTTTCGTGGAATGTAAAAGTTTAGTTTAAAGTGGTTGATGATAATTCAGTAGATCAGTGGATCAGTGACAACGGATTTTGGAGCGAAGTCAAGTGATTGTTCATTCTCAATGGTTTTGAGGGGTTTCGTCGGGAAAATAAAATGAATGACATTGATTCTAAATTTTTGTAGGACATCTCTGGTCCCAATTTATTAATTTTCATTTTTTAATTCACTCATCTTGAAATGTATCAATCATTTTACTAATACGCCATGTTAAGGAAAATGATCGAAACTTTATTGCAAAATATTTTCGTCGATTGATCCCAAATTATTCACTTTCATCGTTTAATTCACTCACCTTGGAATGTAATCAATAATTTTGCTACTACTCATATTAAAGAAAAAGATCGGAATTTTATTTCAAAATAAAAAACAAGAAGTAGAGTAATAAAAATCTATTGACCCTACTTCCCCAAAAATTAATTAGAAATCCATTTCGCTATTAAACGTTGACCTTCGACTTGACCGATCGACATAAGCCACAAAATTCACATTTAATTCACTGATCTTCGAATGTAATCAATGATTTTACTGATGCATCATATTAAGGGAAACAATCCAAACTTTATTGCAAAATATTTTCGTCGCTTGATCCCAAATTATTCACTGTCATCGTTTAATTCACTCATCTTGGAATGCAATCAATAATTTTGCTACTACTCATATTAAAGAAAAAGATCGGAATTTTATTTCAAAATAAAAAACAGGAAGTAGAGTAATAAAAATCTATTGACCTTCCTCAAAAATTAATTAGAAATCCATTTCGCTATTAAACGTTGACCTCCGACTTGATCCAATCGACGTAAGACACAAAATTCACTTTCAATTCACTGATCTTCGAATGTAATCAATGATTTTACTGATGCATCATATTAAGGGAAACAATCCAAACTTTATTGCAAAATATTTTCGTCGCTTGATCCCAAATTATTCACTGTCATCGTTTAATTCACTCATCTTGGAATGTAATCAATAATTTTGCTACTACTCATATTAAAGAAAAAGGTCGGAATTTTATTTCAAAATAAAAAACAGGAAGTAGAGTAATAAAAATCTATTGACCCTACTTCCCCAAAAATTAATTAGAAATCCATTTCGCTATTAAACGTTGACCGTCGACTTGATCCAATCGACATAAGAGGAGACGCGAGTGTAGACAGAAGGGGTTCCAGCGACTCCGCATGGGTAGACCCCCCAGGAGACGATTCCAACTTGTTCGGGTTTGCCATCAGCGTCGAACTGAACGAGTGGACCGCCCGAGTCCCCGGAGCAGGCGGAAATGTTTCCGCCGACTGGTCCAGTGCAGACTTGCGTGTCGAAGAGCTCGACCTTGCCGGCGGCCTCCTTGAAGGACTTCAGGCAGGCGTCGTAGTCGACGATGGGGACCTGAACGGTCTGTAGTTCCGCGGGGAGCTTGGGAATTATTCCGGTGGAGACGGAACCCCAGCCCGTGAGGACGGTCTCGCCGGTGTGCTGCTTCGCCTGCGCGGGGAGGGCGACCGGCTGGACGTGACTGTTGTAGGTCAGGGGGGTCTTCAGACGGAGGAGACCAATGTCGTGTTGGGCAATACCTCTGGGGGAATATTTAAAGAATGAAATTGAAATTTCAAATAAAAAAAAATTCACATTTTTAACAACACGAAATTTACATGATATTTATCTCCATTTTGATACTGAAAAATCAGGTAACTTCACCTGCTCATATGAATCTTTAATATTTATTACTCATTTAAATGTTTATGTGCGGAATATGAGATCTATCAACCACTTTTTTGGAAAGTAATCGGACGATAACGGCCACATACCCTCGTTCCCATTAATTCTCATAATTTTCTCAAACTCCAAGTAGTAGAGACCTACCAACCAATCGGAATTTAACGGGCAAAGACAGAAACACCATTAATGCCGATTCATTTTTTATCACCCAGTCGGAAATAATCGAACTGTTTTACCAGGGTTCTGTAATTGGCTTCATTTTATAACGATAGTAATGAAATAAAATCAAATGAGAAGAACTTCTTTCGCAAATTTTACTCTTCTCTTTACCAAAATGTTATTATTTCTCTGAGATAATTTTAAAAAATAATCTGTCATGTCTATTTCCCTACAGAATCTCGTAATTATCTCACGAATTAATGTACTCGGCGGAAAAATTCCCATAAAAAGTGCGCACTAATGTTTTCTCGTGGCGCCACTCGTTAAGGGGATAATTCACGCGATTAATTTTTAGGCTGGAGAAATGTTAATTAACTAGAATGGGAGAACGAGACGTCTCAACTCAACTTTGGGATGACACACTAAAAATAAAATTAAAAAAGTATGAGGAATGAAGTAATGAGCACTTCCCCCCTTAAATAAATTAATCGTATTAGTCAATAATTTAGTGCATTATTAAACAAATCGTCATCACAAATTTCATTCTATAATTGACCTTCCACTGTAGCGACAGTAATGAAATAAAATGAAATGAGAAGAACTTTTTCTGAAAATTTGATTCTTCTTTTTACCAAAATGTTATTATTTCTCTTAAACTCGGAGATAATTTAAAAAAATAATCTGTCATGTCTATTTCCCTACAGAATCTCGTAATTATCTCACGAATTAATGTACTCGGCGGAAAAATTCCCATAAAAAATGCGCACTAATGTTTTCTCGTGGCGCCACTCGTTAAGGGGATAATTCACGAACTAGTCAGACAAGATGTTTTCTCACCCTGGGTAGTTGGGATGGGCCATTCTGAGGGTGACGACGCGGTTCTCCTGTCCAGGCTCATCCTTGTTGATAATGTGCTTCCCAGCGCTGACCTGCAACCGTCCAATCTTGGGGATTTCGGTGATGCAGTGGCCAGCGGTCAGGATCCATCTGGGGTGGATGATGGAGCCCCCACAGATGTGACGGTATTTAATTAAAGGTGGCAGTCCCCATTGGACAGATACCTGGTATGGGTACTTGTAGGGGACAGCAGTCTCTCCGTTGGTGATGCGCGGGTCGAGGGCGAACCCTTGAATAAATTAAAATTGAATAAATTAAACTAATCCTCAGTCAATCAATTATTTTTCTCATTATCTGCAGTATTTTTCGACAATCGAAGGCCCGAATGCTTTGCTCATAAAAATTTCGGCTCTAATTTTCCAGGAGAAATTATAAAAATGTAAAACAAAAAATGCATATGAAATAACAAAAAATAAATTCCAAAAAAAAATTTCAATGAATTCCAATTCATTGAAATTCATTGGTGAATTTAGAACTACCAAAATCATCAATTATTATTATTATTATTATTATTATTATTATTATTATTATTATTATTATTATTATTATTATTATTATTATTATTATTATTATTATTATTAGGATTAGGATTCATTTGTGATTTTTGTTTTTTTTTGTGATTTTTTTTTTTGAAATTCCAATGAATTTTTTTCCTAAAAAATGACTGGTTTGGGTAAAAGTTCAAAGGATTGTTTCTTGAACTTTCCCAGTGAATGAAAAAATTTGAATTATTATTAAACAAAAATCTCAATTGTCTGAAATTTTTCATTTTCATTCGAATGTGACAACATAAAAAATCTACATGTACCTATAAATTAAATTCGAAAATGTTGAAGAACTCACCTTGTGCAACGAAGAAAGCAGCGATCAAACACTGGTACAGCATTTCGAAGGCGTGTGACTCGCTTCCGTGCTCTATGATCATTATGTACCACCATCATATCAGTCGCACATGATAAGACAGTGGGCCTTTCCGAAATGCAATCAATGCGATCAGATCAGCCACCTCTATCATTATTTTGATGCAGAAGATAGTAAAGCATTGCATTAATGAACTTTGAAATTGTATTCAGATGTAAAGCCAGACAATAACAACGGGAGAAAAGACATAAAATAACGTCATAAAATCTAACAATTAAAGTTTATTGATTATGTACAGTCTCAAGTCTCAAGCAATTCAAATGATTGCCTCGAATTGATTAATCAATCCAGAATAAATACCAGTGATTACAATCATTTTCCTCAAAACTGCGTTAAAAATTTCATAGCAAAACTATTCCTGTTGGATTTTTATTGGAGTTTTAATTTTTTTTTTAGCCGATTGTATTGGAAAATTGCGGAACTTACTTGCATATTTTTTCCGTTAGAAATGTTCAGTGGAAAAAGTTGCGTAAAAAGATGAAATTCCATCTATTTTTTATATAAAATAATTTCTATTAGTCACCTCTACGGTTTTTTTATTCAGAAGATAGTGATACCTTGCATTAATGAACTTTGATATTCCATTCAGTTTCAAGCCCAGATAATAACAACGGGAGAAAGGACACAAAAACGTCATAAAATCTAACAATTAAAGTTTATTGATTATGTACAGTCTCAAGCTTTAAACAATTCAAATGATTTCCTTGAATTGATTCACCAATCCAGAATAAATACCAGTGATTACAATCACTTACACCAAAAATGCCTTAAAGCACCAAAAAGCGAGAAAAATTTCATAGAAAAACTATTTCTGTTGAATTTCTATTGAACTTTTTATCGTTTTTTCACCGACAGCATCTGATTTTTTATACAACTTATTCTATTGAAATATTTTCTATACAAATTCCCAGACTTAAAATGTATAAGAAGTTTTCCCTTTCATTTTTCTCTACAAAATAACGTGAAAAATTCATCAGGAGGAATTCTTATTATTGTTTTCTATTTTAAAAAGAATGTGTAGTGAAGGATAATTTTCATCAGAAATTCACCAGAAATCCGACAGAATTTTCTATCGAATTTCCAACATTTTTCTCCGAAATTTTTTCGCGCGCGTTATAATCCAAACATAAGACTCTTCACGAATCGAGCACTTCTTGGAGATGAGGTATGTCCAGGTGGGATATCCACGGTTCAATCAATTGACCTAAAGTTATTAACGAATGGATAGCGATCTCAGGTGTCATTGGAGACCATGCGAGCGATGGCTCTGACCCCAGCCCAGGTCTCTCGAGCCGTGGGGATTATCTGAGTGGCTGGCAGCAGAAACCCATAAGTTCCTCGATCCCTGAGCTCCAGGGTGTATGAGTATTTGATACCCGCAACTCCTTTCGCCCAATCGTCCGATGCGCCTGATAACGAGCAAAATAAACAAGAGGCTTAATGAATTTTGCAATCGTCTCGATTCCGAGTATTTAAATCAATGCATTTCACTGATAATGGTATCTGGAGATTTCCGTTGGGCTTATTAAATGCTCAGATTTGTGTTCATTGATTTAACGTACGCGAAGCGGTAGAAGAAAGCGATTGTGATCTTTTTTTTGATGGCATTCAATTCCGAGAGGTCAACTGAATGTTCTATCGATTTCCTTCTCATTTCAGTTTTTTATTCATTTTTCATCGATGAAATAAAATATCCGTGAGTGGTAATAGGAAAATATGAAACTCGCACGGTGTAATGGTGTCAATTTATCAAGGGGAATTACCTGTCGTGGGGTAAAGCAAATCTGCTGACGATCCGACTTTGTACGCAGTGCCGTGTACCTTGGCAATAGCTTTCGCAGCTTTTCGTGCTATTTTGGCGAGGTCAGCGTAATCCGTGGGTTTCGTGTGAGTGTGGCCCCAGGGCACCAGCCACATCTGATTGTATGAGTGGAGAGTCAAGTAGAGTCTGGAAATTATTTCGGTGAATGAGGATGGAGGATATTAGTATTGTCTTTCAGAGGGAATTTTTGGCTTTTGTTTGCTAAAAAATTATCGAATTCCATTGGATTTTCCGTAAAATTTGGAATTTCAGTTTTTTTTTTCAAGTGTGCGAGCATTGTGAGGGTCACGAGGGTCTAAAGCTTTCGTTTTAAAATTTAATATCTCTAAGAATTGTATTCTAAGTCGAAGGGGAAATACCTCCATTGAATTGTTTGTTAAGGGTTTGACATAATTTATGATATATCTTTGAATTTTTAGTTAATTGAAAATTCATCGGAATGTGTCACTAAATATTCATATTTTGGTGGAAAATTTAAATAAGTTGGGGACTTCCTATCTACTTTCTGCTCAAAATTTTTGAATTCCATTGAATTTTCCGTGAAATTAAAAATTTCACCTTTTCCTTCCAAGAAATTCAAATTTTTTTCTAACTACGAGAATTGCGCGGGTCAGAGGTTCTAAATCCCTCAAAAGTGATCTTAGAATCTCACATTTCTCGAAAAAAAAATCCAATGTGTCTAAGAGCTTTATTTCTAATCCAAGGAAAAATATTGAAGTCAATCAGAAATGTTAACTCCCTCGAAAAACCCAAGACCGAAAGTGTTTAGGACCATTTCCAATGGTCCTAAACTCCAAATTCTAATTCTCTTTGAATTTATTTAATGGTTAAAGGTGGTCAGGCGATGTTGTGTGGCGAATTTGCATATTTCTATACCTGCGAAACCCGGATTCGAATCCCGGCTGGGCGGTACGGGATGTTTTCTCTCTAAATTCCAATTCATTAGCGAAGTGGTAAAGCGGTTCAAGTCAGCTTATCCCCCAGTTGAGTTTTTGAGGAATATTTCCGAATCTAAGGGAGATAGCGAAATTTTTGTAAATACATTTATTGCGGCTCTCAATCGGCTCTATAAAAAAGGTTATAACAACAATTTGGCTATCTCGCTTAGATTCCGAGATATTCATTGAAAACTGATCAACAGTCAAAATTGACTTATATCGTTTTACCACTTCGCTACTGAATTCTCTTTGAATTCAAAGGGAAATGTTGATAATCACTTCATAAGTGCGAGTGCCCGGCGCATACCTGCGAAACCCGGATTCGAATCCCGGCTGGGCGGTACGGGATTTTTTCTCTCTAAATTCCAATTCATTAGCGAAGTGGTAAAGCGGTTTAAGTCAACTTATCCCCTAGTTGAGTTTTTGAGGAATATTTCCGAATCTAAGGAAGATAGCGAAATTTTTGTGATTTCATTTGTTGTAGTACTCAATTGGCTCTACAAAAAAGGCTATAACAACAATTTCGCTATCTCGCTTAGATTCCGAGATATTCATTGAAAACTGATCAACAGTCAAAATTGACTTATATCGTTTTACCACTTCGCTACTGAATTCTCTTTGAATTCAAAGGGAAATGTTGACAATCACTTCATAAGTGCGAGTGCCCGGCGTAGACCTGCAAAACCCGGATTCGAATCCCGGCGGGGCGGTACGGGATTTTTTCTCTCTAAATTCCAATTCATTAGCGAAGTGGTAAAGCGGTTCAAGTCAACTTATCCCCCAGTTGAGTTTTTGAGGAATATTTCCGAATCTAAAGGAGATAGCGAAATTTTCGTAACCACATTTGTTGCGGCTTTCAATCGGCTCTACGAAAAAGGTTATAACAACAATTTCGCTATCTCGCTTAGATTCCGAGATATTCATTGAAAACTGATCAACAGTCAAAAGTGACTTATATCGTTTTACCACTTCGCTACTGAATTCTCTTTGAATTCAAAGGGAAACGTTGACAATCACTTCATAAGGGCTTGACATACTTAATGTTATGACGATTAGCCATGATGTAATCGGCCATGGCTTTGGTCTCCGGCTCGGAGAAGGCCCGAGGGCCCTCGTAGGTCTCGTGGCAAGGATCACTGCTAGCACCCCCTCGCCTGTAATTCCTATCCTCGCCCCAGTGATAGTCGAAGTTGCGATTGGGATCGACGCCCTCGCACTTGCCCCACAGCCACTGCGTGTAGTGCGTCACAAAGTGGAATAGACTCGCTGGTGTGTACCGACTATCAATCAATCCCATAAATTCCATCGATAATGATCGATTAATTTAATCCAAATGCATTCACATTGATAACAGTATTGACTAATGTGCGTCCAGTGATAAGGGGATTTAATTACCTCGTCTCGTTATCGTCCGCATGACTGCTCCGGGTTTTCCTCCACAATCTGTCCCCAGTGTGGCTGTACTCGTAGCCATCTGGATTGGCTAGTGGAAGAATCAGCCAGTCCGTTGTGTCGAGAAGTTTCGCATACGTCGAGTTCTTCTCCACCAACTGGCTCAGGATGTAGGTCGCCACTGCCGGGCCTATCCACTCTCTGGCGTGCATTCCTGATCAACATGAAGACTGTTTTCAGCCTGTCTGGGTGATGTGCACGAATGAAAAAATTTCATGGAAAACCGCCGGAATTCGAGAGAAAATTCTATTGGATTTCTTGAACTGTAAAAATTACGCTGTTTTTCTACGCGTTTTTTTTTCAATATTAATGTTAAATGAAAAATATTCTACAGAAATTTCGTGGCTCACATTTTATATTTTTTTATTTTGTTAATAAAAAGAGAAGGAAAATGGAATTAAAAACAGTTTGAAAATTCATGTTGAGGAATTCCTACAGAAAAAGTTGTATGGAAAGATGGAATTCTACTGATTTTTTCCATAAAATAGTTTCTATTGGATATTTTCTATTGTTAAAGAACGCGCAGGAAAGCTGTGGAACTCTTCAATAGCGTCCGCCAAAAACTAATGAAATTTTCAGTAGAAGTTCAACAGAAACGCAATCGAATTTTGTATCGTATTCGTTAGGTTTTGTTCTATGAAATTTTGTCGTACGTGGAAAATCGCAGTTTAAATCGAGAAATGGAGCCCTCAAACTTCTGTTTTAAAAATTTGTTTAACAGAAAGAAAAAAATAGAGTTGAAAACACTTAAAAAATTCATGTCGCGGAATTCCTATAGAAAATGTCTTTAGAAAATATGTATAGAAAGATGAAATTCTACTGATTTTTCCCATAAACTAATCTATAAAATAGTTTCTTTGAAATAGTATTCATTGCACATTTTCTATTAAATTATTAATTATTAAATCTATAATTATTTTCCTAATAATTGAATCTATTAATTTTTTTAATAATTAAATTTAGTAATTATTTTTCTAAAAACTTATAGAACTTCAACAGAAATACAATAGAATTTGCTATCGAACTCGTTAGGTTGTTCTACGAAATTTTATCGTGCGTGTCTGATCAAAGTTCAAACGGAGAAACGGAGTCTTCGAAATTGTCGAGTCAGACGTGACTGGACGCAACCACTTGTTCATGCGCGATGAGGCGTTATGGGCAATTTCAAGGATTTTTATTATTCTGGGAATGGACTCGTTACCTGCGTCGATCCAAACGGCTGGCTTAGCAGCACCCGATTTACCTCGTCCTGTCGAGACCTTTACCACTTTCAGGGGCTGACCCTCGAAACTGTGGCCAATTGTCTCGAGTTCCACGAGCGTTGGGTAGGTGAATGCGAGGTATTCCAGGTATTTCATTATTTCTGGTTCGAGGGGAATTGAAGAATTAGATTAACCCATTCCGGACAATAATTTCAGGATAAAACAAATTTGTTATGCTGTTGCAAATTTTTAGCCGAAATACTTTTGGAAATTTACAAAGAAACATGACAAATAAATTAAAAAAAACATACATATAATACAATTACTACAATTATTTTAATACATTTTAGTTTCAGTGAAATTTCAAGGAATTTTGTCATTGAAAATTCACTATTTGATAAGAAAACCAATGGAGACTGTAATTTTTAATTATTCAATTCAATTATTCCATGAAAATTAATAGAAAACAGAAAAATTTGGGTAAATATATTCTTCAATTTCTAGTTGGAGGGGAATTCGAGACTTAATTGAACTCATTTTGGAAAATAATTTCATTATAAAAAAAATAGTTTGGCTGTTAAACATTTTTAAATGGAATGCACTTGGAAATTTTTATTGTAATTCAATTACACTGAAATTTCAAGGAATTTCTTCATTAAAAATTCATTCTTCGATGAGAAAACCAATGGAAACTGTCGATTTCTATTCAATTATTCCATGAAAATCAATAGACATCGGAAAAATTCAGGTAAATATAATCTTGAATTTTTAATTAAGACCTCGTTAACTTCTCTGTAAAAAAATTGTCGCTTCCCCTCAGTTCCGAGAACATTCATTAAAAATTGTCTCCAACAAAAAAACAACAAATTGTTTCAATTCATTAAAATTTGTCTTGTATAATTTACAGTCTCAAATCTTTAATTCAGTAGCGAAGTGGTAAAACGGTTTAAGTCGACTCATCTCCCAGTTGAGTTTTTGAGGAATATTTCCGAATCTAAGGGAGATAGCGAAATTTTCGTAATAATATTTGTTGTAGGCCTCAATCGGCTCTACAAAAATGTTTTTAACAAAAAATTTGCTATCTCTCTTAAATTCCAAGATATTCATTGAAGACTGGAATTCCACCAGTTGTTTTCAATTTCCCTCAAGAAGGAATAGATCTTCGGTTTTAATTCGCCTTACCGCCGAATCGATGGTATCGTTTCCAAGTCATGGAGTGTCCCTGCACCGTGACAAGGTCGTCCCTCTGCTCCTTCGACATCTTAGGATTCTGGTAGGCGATGGTCTTCTGCAGATCGGGAATGAGAACCTTGAAGTCAATCTTCTTGTCCCTCAGGTAGTCCCGCACGTCGTCGAGGATATCGGGGGACACGACGATGTCCGTTGACTTGTTCTCGGCCGGCTGTGTCCAGAACTTGATCTCCTCAACTTCAGAATCCCTCATCTCACGCAACTCGTCGACCTGTCGTTGAGTGATCGGGTGAATCCGCAGTAATTGGTGACCCTTGTAACTGACTCTGCTCGTCGCAGCTTTTCCGGTCTTCGGCTCTGCTCCTATGACGTTGTTCACGAGGGAACTGAAACCGTCGGAGACTACGTCGATGACTGTCTCGAAGAGGTTCGAGAGGGAGAATCCCCGGGGGTGAGGGCAGTTGGAGAACCAGGGAAGCTGTCTCCTCCGGAACGGGGACTTGTCGATTCGTCTCGGGCTGTATCCATTGAGCGGGATTGATTCGGTATCGCGGGATCTGAGGATAAATTATGCGAATTCAGTAGCGAAGCGGTAAACCGGATTAAACCGATTTTGACTATTGGTCAGTGTTTGACGAATATCTCGGAATCTAAAAGAGATAGAAAATTTTTTATCATAACCTTTCTTGTAGAGCCAATTAAAGGTTACAAAAAAGGTCGTAAGACAAATTTTGTTATCTCTCTTAGATTCCGAAATATTCGTCAAAAACTGGCCAAAAGTCGAAATCGAGTTAACCCGGTTTATCGCTTCGCTGCTGAATTATACAATCTCTTTCCTCTTTCGAAGAAGAATCAATCAAAGTGGTGGTGGTGGATTGGTAAACTAGGATGAGTACATTTTTTTCGGAAATGCGTTTTTTGGTTAAATCGCTTCCCAACAATTTGTGAAAGCGATTTGACAAAAAAAATGTTTTCTAAAAAAATGCACGGGTTTACCTATTCACGACAGACTTTTCGCATGATTTTTAGAGATCCAATAATTTTATATTCCGAAATTTAAATTGAAAGACATTCCCAATGGATAAATTTTTGTTTTTCATTGTTAAACATTTTTTGGAGTTGTTGAAATTTTTTTAATTTCAGGAATTCCTGGGAATGACATTTCTGGAAATTTTTTATTATATTATGATTCCACTGAAAGTTAATGAATTTTCGTAATTAAAAATTTTGAATTTCATGAAAAAAATCAAGCGAAATTGTAAATTTCAGTTCAATTATTCCATGAATTAATATAAATCCGAGAACTATATTGTTGAATTTTCAATTCTTTGAGAATCCCGCGTAATTTGGTACATTTGGAATATTCATGTTTTGACTGAAGATTGAAATAAGTTGGAGAATTTTAGTTTTCCTGGTGCTGAAAAATTTGAAGTTTCGTTGAATTCTGCCCGAATTATTCACATTTGAGACGCCTGAAGAATATTTTTCAATTCTTTCAATTTTTGCTGCACACAAAAATACGTTTTGTTAGATTTTTCAGTTTCGACGAAATTAGTTTGAGAGCCTATCCACAATTCTAACTTATTCATGCAAAAATTCTTGATTCTCCGTGTGACAGATGAGAAATTTTTGGCTGAAATCTCCCTCCATTTCGCGGAAATTACTATCAAGTCAATAGTTGCTGTCAAATTTCAAGGGCTTTTGTCTTAAAGAATTCATAATTCGATGAACCATCCCCAGAAATTATCCATTTCAGTTCAATTATGCCATAAAAATTAACACAAATCCGGAAAATATATTCCAGAATTTTCAATTCATTGAGAATTCCACTTAATTTCGTACTGAATAATCATGTTTTGCCTGAAGATTCAAACAAGTTCTAGAATTTTAATTTTCCTGCCGCCCAAAAAACTGGAATTCCATTGAATTCCCACTGAAAATTAAAATTCCACGATTTTCCATACAAAGTGTACGCGAGAGCGTTCTTCACACATTGAGTAGCCAGAGAAACGATGTCAATAGAAAAGTGGAACGACTCGGTCGATAGCCTCTCGATCAATCCCGATCAATTACTCCAGATTAACAGACAATCAAGCCATCCCTAATTACTAATTACCCATCGATTGTCGATGAATCCTTGTTATCCTCGATTCCCACCGAATTCACTCCCGATAGCGGACTAGAACTGCTTGGAATTCCACACGCGACTATCGAAATTAAAACAACTAAGGTAACACTGATCGATCCAGCGGATCGATCCCGCGATTTTCTGGTGATGGCCATTGACCTTGACTCCAAGGGAACTTGGATGCGAGCGTGTCGGTAGCCCCGCGGTTACTGAAGTCTGACCTTCACAGGTGTAATCCCCTTCCCCTGCGTCATAAGCACCCGCTCCTTTTGATCTCAGCGATGGCAACAATTTACATTCAGCCACGTGGAGGCAGCGGATTTTCACTGTCATGGGCCATAGACGACAAGTTCTTTCGTGCACGTCTTTCTCTTGGTACGAACAATGTCATTTCTCTCGGAGAAATGAGTTGTCACAGTCGGGTTCGCTGCAATTATCAACTTCCTGGCGTTTCGGGACTTGAATGAGAAACAGTTTAAACCAGTTCGGTCTAACGGGAGTTCGATTATGGGGGAAATGGGACAATGTCAATATCGGTTTTCATTATAGTTCGGGATGGCCTGGGGTGGACCGATTGCGGGCGCTCGCTTTAGCCATTTGATGGATTGGGGCGAGCGTATGAGGAGGTCTGAGGGGCTGTGGTTATTCAGTTAGAATTTGGAATGCCACTGAATTTTCTGGGTGTTTTTCACATTTGAGAGATTTAAAAAAATGTATTTTCAATATTTTTTAATTGGCGTTCCATGCGGCCATTTTTTTACATTTTTGAGTTGTTGGGGAAATTGGGGTTGAGGGAATACCTTTAGTCTTGAACTATTCACACCGAAATTCTTGATTTTCTATGTGACAGTTGAGAATGTTTTGGGTTGATACACGGAGAGAATTGTTTGGTGAATTTCAATAACTATTTGGTGATATTTAACAACTAATTAATTAAAATTTAGAAAAGATTTTTCAATTTGATTTGACAACCATTTTAAAAAATTATCGATCAATGCTCGTCAATTTTTTTGATCGATCAAATTTCACAACAAATTGTAGATTATTGCGAAACCAACTTCTAGGCGAGACGTTGATCGATTATCAACATAGAAATTATTGCGGGATTGTTGCCAAATGTATAAATGCCCTCACCATCTACTTATGAACCTCTAATTTATTGAATTGAATGAAAGAGTTGTTAAAATTCAACAAATAATTTTGTTGTTGTTATTGATTGGTTGAAATTCAACAAATAATTTTCTCCGTGTATTCCACTACATTTCGGGGAAATATTTATCAAATTTAACGATTGCCCTCAATTTTTAAGAAATTTCGTTGGCAAACTGGGGTTTAATTGTGGGGGGAAATGAGACAAAATAATATCGGTTTCCATTATACTTCGGGATGGTCTGGGGTGGGTGGACTCCGGCTCTCGCTTTATTCACTTGTATAAGGGCGATTGTGTGAGTCGGGCTGAGTGGCAATGGGTATCCACTCACCCGAGGGGACTCAGTAGGTCAGTGCAGTTGCCGTTAGACTTACCTCTTCAATAACATCCTTGGTGCGAGGAAAAAATGAATTGCATATACTAAACCGAGTCTTTTCTCAACGAATTGGAATGCCCAGTGATTTTCTTTTTGTTCAATTATAATAAATTCGCTTCAGAATATCCTGCTAATTTTAAATTCTACAGAACATAAACGAATAATGGAGATTGTTTAAATTTTTCAAAACCTAGTTTTTTTGCATAAAATTTATTTTCGGAAAAATTAAATAAAAAAAACGAACAATTTTTTTAAGTTAAAAAAAAATATTCATGAAGAAAATTGATTGTTTGTCAGTTGTTTGCGGAAAATTGTAGTTTTTTATTGCGATTCTTGGATAATTTCATGTAATTTCTCAAATTTATTCTCGGAATGAACAACAAATCTCAACTTCAAATATTTTTTGTTAATTCAAGAATAATTTTTCTATAGACACTTGCAACTATGTCATCATGTCCTCAAAATGAGCATTATTTTTCTCTATAAATAGTCATGTAGAGCTAAATGAAAAGCCAACAAGTACTTTTGTTATTACCATGAATATACTTTATTATTACATACACTATACTCAACATTTTAACAGTACAATCATACAATATTACTTATTAAACATACATAAACCGTGTTCAATGATGGATAATTAATCAGAACGAGTAATAATAATGACTGATTTCAATTAATCTGTGTACATAATTCATGTTAGTCGGTATTCAATTGGTAAAAATAACATTAAAAATTCATATATTAATTAAATAGAGGGGTTTTTTGGAATGAGGGAGGGGAGAGCGTGAAACTTTAGAATTCCATAGTTACATCTAATAAAACAACAGTAGAGATTACTTTTTCCTCATTAAGACACGATTCGTTAGGCCCTAGGGACAGATTCATAACCCTCGGAAGTAGATGGAATTTTGACTAGCACTTGTGTGACACATAACAAAGGACCGCACACTCATCTCTCATTCGATTCGATGATTCTGTTTACAACACGTTGAATCTAATGTGAATTGATTCACTTGAATTCTTTTGTTTTTTTTCTCTTTTTTTTAGTCACGTGGACTGAGTTCCATCGCTACGAATCACGATATTCGTACGATTAATTAATCATAATTCACGAATACTCGATTAATAATTGACTGACTTCGATAGGCCCGTGTAATTGAATTTAATAAATAATTAGTGGCAAGAACCGAATAACACCCCACGAAGAAAAAAATCAATGAAATACTTCGTAACATTTCTCGCGGAATTTCCGCTACATTTCTCGGGAATTTCAAGGAATTTCATCATTTAAGTTTTGAAATTTTGTGGGAAAATGTGTGGAAGCTGCAATTTTAAGTTCAATTATTCCATGAAAATTAAAAGAAATCCGGAAAATCGAAGTAAATACCAGAGTTTAAATAACCTCTTGAATTTTTAATGAAATGGAAATTTCAAATAATTTTGTACTAAATATTCCTTTCTTTATTAAAAATTTAACTAAGAAGAAGAATTCTCGTCTTCCCACTGTTAAAAAATTTCGAATTTCACCGAATTTTCAATGAAATTACAAATTTCATGATTTTATTCCCTCTCAATCGAACTCAACGTCACTTTCCTGTCCAAAAAAAATCCCTTAAATGAAATAAAAATAAATAATGACGTTTTGAAGAGGAAAATTTATTCCCTGCCTTCCAGAAATCCAATTTTCCCCAAAACTGCCCAGATTGTACCGTAATTTTTCGTGTGATTTTTTTCTCCCTGCAGCGATACTGAATTTAAAACTCTCGTGACCCAACCCATCAAATGATACATTGGAAATCCATTGATCATCATCACTTATCAAGGTTATCATCGCTTCTTTCCGCCCACATTCTGTTAATCAACACCTTTTCATTATTAATGGTTTCTTCTATCTCTATTCTCTTAACTCTCATAAACTCTCTTTTCGTTTCTAAGGCCTTAGTTGTTATTTACAGTTATTAACAATTGTTTTTCGTACATCTATTTAGTGTAGAATACGACGAAGTATCTCTCGCGAATGTGACACACGTTATAATGTTCGTTATCTCCATATACGATTGGTTTTTAACAATCATGCAACATGCATTAATTTATTCTTTGAAAAACTAGGGCTAGAACGGTCGGAGCTAGTCGGTAGCTCAGTTTGATTTTGAACTCGCAGTAACGTTTCGAACTAATTCGATATAGTTAGGGTTAACAGGTGCAGTTGATTTTGTTTTTCAGAGGTTTCTTTTTTCTTTATCAATTGATGATCAATTACTTTCTTTTTCGTCTCTAATGACTGCTCTTACGCTGATGATGGTGAATCAATTGGAAGCATCAGTCGGGTTAAACGATGTTGGCTTTGATCACTGAACTCCCCATCATTACTTTGTTGACAAAGTTGACGATTGCTGTTGCTGGCTGGCCTGGCTCCAGTTCAGCGAACACGTGACACTGATTGTCGGTCTTGTGGGCTGGTTTTCTCGCCACGAAACCAAAACAACGACTGAAATTATTGAGAATATAAATTGCTGATAATATAGTTTTATTCAGTGTTTCAATATTTAGTTGGTAAATTTGAAATAATCTCGATGAGGAGAGATTGTAGGAAAAATGTCATGAGTCACTGTTTTTTTGTTGGGAATTCTTTGATTTACAAAAGATGTTTTTGACATTTTCTTCTAACATGAATCATTTTTACAAAAATTGAAATTTTTGAAATATCTCATTAAACTTCCAGAAAGTGGGCTAAAATTTTTTTTCAGCTTTTTTAAATATCGTCTGGAGGTTTTAAATGGAGAATTCATTCATCTTCAACTTAACAATTTTTTAATTTTGAATAATAAAATTATTTCAAAATTCTAGTATACCCAGAGTCAAATAGAAATGTCAATTACAAATAAAAATTGACTCAACAAATTAGTGATTAATTAATTGCATTCTGAAGAAACGAAATGGATTAACGTACTGTGCACTGAGTGCTTTGCCCGTGTCCTCACTGATGAACTCCCAGGTACGTTCGTCAGCATCGAGGCCACAGTAGCTGATGTTATTCGTGGGATAATGTCGACGGAAGAAGAGCTTTCGAGCGTTGTCGGTCAGTGTAATCCCTTGAGTGGAGACTTTGAAGTGGACGATTGTCGCTGATGGCAGGGGTTTCTGGTCAAACAAAGTTGTTACTGCTTTTCTGACGGCTTGGGGACCCGTCAGGGATTCAGTATCAATTGTGAAGAGATAAAGAACGTTGCAAGCTGAAACAAAAATGTTAAATCCGAGTGAAATACCTCAAATTACACAAATAAAAATCCAAATGTTTCATAATTTTTCCTATTCTGTCTGTCTATCGTAATTAAATGGAAAAATAAATAAATGAATAAAAAACAAAAAAAAACAAAATTTAGACATTTAAACAGATTAGGTATTTTAGTAAAATTATAATATAAGAAAAATAAATAATGCGTTCCGTCATAAGTAATATTTTGAACTCTTCATTTTGTCAATTTCATTATATACTTTATGTTTATTTAATTTGCTATTGGGTCTGTATGAAATAAAAATGGAATGAAATGAAAAATTGAATGCAATTTTTTTTATTTTACCTGCACCCTGGGCTAAAAGCTGTTGCGTACTGCTCGTCCCAGGTGAATCGAGTGCTCTAGCAGCTGCATCAGCCTCGGGTAATAGCAATTGACAGGGCAGAGCCATTGCCATGAGACTGTGCTGATAAACGAGTGCTGATAGAGAACTGAAGACTGGTTCGTTGGCACATCCTTTCAGTCTCACTCCTCTCGATGTTGGCTCGATCAAAAAGTGTCTCACGAGCTCACTCGATGGGTCCTTTGGACTGCTAGGGGCACCTGGAGGTGGAGTCGCCACTTTCAGGGCTAGGCCGAATGCCCCTGGGAAGGAGTTCGAGTCGCGGACGACGAAGGTTCCTGGGGCTGCATCCTTCAGCATTGCTATTGCTGGAAAAATATATTCGAATTTATATTTCAACTCTTATGATTCATGAGTAAATTGAATAATTTATTCGCAAAATTCAATTGAAAGTTGAGTTTATGTTTAAAGAATTCATGTTGTTTATTTTATTTTATTTTATTTGTTTTATTCATCTTATTTACTTTATTTATTTTATTCTATTTGATGCATAAATTAAAGTACTAAATATGAGTTCATAAATAAAAAGTAGCTTTTTCACTAATAAATAGTATTAATTAATTTTTTTTATAGACAAAAATAATCCATAAGACGTACTGAAGCTAATTTACATTGCGATTGCTATAAAAGTATATTCAAATTAATATTTCCATCGACTCATGAATATTCTAATTTAATTTGTTTGAAAAATCCAATATAAAACATGAAATCATGTTAAAATAATTTATGAATTAAAAGTTGTTTCTTTACTAATAGAAAGTTTTGAAGAATTTTATATTGCAAAAAAAATTATTTTGTAGATGAGAATGATTTATAATATGTATTGAAGTTAATTTACCTTGCTCCCTAGTGATATTAGGCTTATACCATATTTTACTGGTATCACGAACAAATTTGACATTGACATCAGCCACTTCCTGTGGCTCCGTATTCGAATGAATGCTCGATCTTCTCGAGCCGTACTGCTGAATATGTGGGGAGGAGTGGCCTCCACTGTTAATCGATGTGTAGGAAGTGGCACTCTAGAACAATTCAAAAACTTCAATGAACTTTGTTTCTCCTCTTTGCGTAAAATTTTAAATGCGAATCAATTTATAACGATTGACAGCAAAATAATGACGACGTAAGAATATGTTGTTCATAAATTATTCATGAGAGACTCAATTTATCTGATCAATCTTCATTAATGTTGATGAAATAAACATTAATAAAGGGTTTTGAAATATCGTCGAGCATTCTTAATGATCGCAATTACCTTTGGACTTTGGGCGAATTCGACGTGATTCGGTGTTCCAGGGCTTCGAGTGATCGTATGAGTTATTATTTCGTTCGTCGGCGAGACGGGCCGGTCCTTGCTGGAATTTCCACACGAAATTTTAAGGATTTATCGCATAATTCAGGGACAACATCGAGTGCTGGTGCTATGTGTAATCCGTGCATAAGTGCTGTACATTTTTCATTATTCCAACAGTCAGTTTGTGGATTAGTTGACGAGTCCAACGAGTTTTATACACATATATTGCGGATGTGGTGGATCATTTTGACGTTTTGTTAATTCTTTATTCATCTTCGGAACGAATGGTTCCACAGGGGAATGTTTCAGGTAGAGGAATTCCAAACAATAAAAGAACCATTCGTTGTCGAGACAACTGCGTGTATGAAAAAATTGCGTAGAAAAATCGCTATCAGAATTCAAGAAATTGAGAATTTAAATTTTCTCAGGAACTCCATTTGATTTTTTTACTGATTTCGTTTGAAGAAATTGGAAAAGAATGAGTCATGAAGAAGAATAAAAATCAGTTAACTTTTTCTCAAATAAGAATTCCAATTATATTCAAATCAAGTTACATCAGAAATTCACTAGGTTTTTCTGTCAATATTTTTCACACGTCTGACTATTCACGAAATTAGTAATTTGACAATGAATGAAAACTATTCATCAGACATCTTGCAATGTTATATTTACAGACGATGGTATTAACTTCTCGAGATTATTCGTACGAGACGTAGAATTTAAATTGCATTATTATCACAGTAACAGGTGCGATGACAAATATACATGCGTCACGAGACTGACACAGTTACACACTCTTTTCAACTAAAAAACTCTTGCAACACTTGCTTGAACATTGTTTTACCTATAGTCGAACGACGCCGATTGATTAGTGAGTGGCCATCGTTTGTTATGAGATTGTTTAAGCGAACCGCTTGCCGGAAAACTCAAACGTCTAAACATTTAAAAATAAATCATTGTATTTCCATGGGCGGATTATTTTAAACTCTCGTTAAACCGGTGACCATTTCAGTTGTGAAGGGACAGGGCGAGACAACTTTATTGTTGGTTTTACGAATTGAATTAATTTAATATCATAGTCATTATTATATAATTAAGCAATTATTATTTCTATTAAATAGAATTCACTTGAACTTGATTTTTATTTTTATATGTATTCAAATGCGAATAATAAATCAATTAAATGAATTCATTATTAATTATTTTTCTTGATTGAAATGAAAATTTTATTAGTTAGAAATAAAATGACTGTTGAGATGATGAAGAAAACGAATTTTCTGACATCTAATAATTATTTCACACAATTAAATTTTTTTTATTGAAATAAACATGAGAAGAGAAAAATTTAAAAAGTACACGATATTTTCCCAAGTTTGATGTCTTCTGAAATAAGTTGACTCACCCTGAACTTCCACTCGCCAATTAGCTTGATTAATCATCGAATAATTATTGAAAAAACACTTACCGCTGTGTTGTCGGACTCTTGGGAGGGAGTCCCGTCTCCCTGACATCTCGTCTCTCCTCGATATAAACAGCTCGATCCCCAGTGTAATCCCGATTATTAATGATGTTGTTATTCCCATTCTCAAAATTATGTACATTGTTATTATGCACTGAGTAGTTCGTTGACTCGTTGAAGTTGTTCGTTGATACGTAGGTGCGATCAGCGGCGAATGTCACTGTTGGCGATGAATTGTTGACGTAGGGGGTGCGTGGATGAACCGGAAATGCTGGGGTCTGGGGCCTGGAGGCATTGCCTACCCCAGCACTGGCGGGACTGACGCTCCTGTCTGTCCACGACGTCGGGGAGTCGTGTTGGGACTATGGAGGAAACAACGACAGCATTTCATTCGATTTTCACTGTCTCAAGGGGTCAATTCGGTAGTGAAATGGTGGACGAGAAGAGTCTTTTTTTTCAGTTTTATAAGCGATTTTTAATCAAGTTTTTTTTAACTTACGATGGTTTTCATTTTCATGGGTGATAATAATAGAATAAATAATGACGTGTTGGAAGAAATTGAGCAATACTATTTTAATTAATAATTAATTTTAATTTCAAGTTTTTTAAAACATTTACTTTTTATAAATGAATTATGGAAAGGATTTAAATTTCCGGAAGATTATTTTTTGGTATGAAGTCGCTTTATCGTTAAATTCTGGATATGAACAAGTTTTTGACGGTAATAAAAATTGTTTTATGGTGGGAAAATAATTGATTATAGAATATTCGTTAAAAATTTCGTAATGTTCAAAAAGTTCACAATTTTTCAATTATTTTATAAATTTTTATTAAGAAGTTAACTCTCTAATTTTTTTAAAGATTTTTTAAATGTTGATTAATTAATGATTAATTTTAATATTTTTTAAATTTTAAGATTTTTCAAGTTATGATATTTAATTACAAATGTTTAAAAACATTAACATAAGTCCATAACAGAATGTCTCCATTAGATCCATTATAATTCAGAATGGAACATTTATTGTTCATGAATCCTGTTTACAAAAAAAATCTCGATCTCCAACAATTGTAATTTTTCAATTATTTTATAGATCGCCCTTCAAAAGTAAATTTCTCAATTGTCTCAGACTTTTTTAATGCTATCTAACGATTGTAAATTGTTAAAATACATTAAATTATCGAAATTTCAACGTTTAAATCACAGAATGATTGCAAAATGTTTGGAAACTCAACTAAATTCCTCGATGTTCCCTACAAACACTGAATCCTTTTCAGGATTTCCCAAAAAAATGGGCAAAGTCGTAAACATTCCAGTGCAATCAAAAACTCCTCATCTCATTCCACCCCTCCACTCCCAAATATAAAAAAACTGTCAAATAACAGCAGAACATTCGCCCCTAAGAATAAAATTGGCAAAGCGTGGGATGAACAAACCTGTACACTAAACTGCCATGCTTTTGGTGACTGATTAGGGGTACTGTTAGTGTCAGTGTTGATGACATCGTTGTTGTTGCTAGATGATAAATTCCTACCATGATGATTCACATTAAGCTGATTATCCTTGTTAATCGTTGCCACCCGCACATGTGACAAATCCGCGAGTGACTCAATGAGACTGGCAAGTGGATCACAATCCTGATCCTTAGATTTATCAACAACAGCCAGCAACCCCAAGTCCACGACATCCCGATTATCCTTATCAATTCCATCAAATTCGTACACTTTATCGGCATATGTTACCCGATTGCTCCGTGAATATGCGTTATTGTTAACGAGGGTTTTATTGTTATTATCAGAAAGACCGTTCAATGAATTCGTGAATCCATTGAAACGATGCTCTCTCATGAGCATCTCGGCCCTTCCGAAGCTGTCGCTTCTGGACTCTGGCCTCGGTGGCTGGTGCTTCTCACCTAGTGTTTGTGGCTGAAGGGCAAGAGCAGCTAGTAGCGGTGGTGACGCGTGCGGGGACGGTGGAGGACTCTGTAAAGCGAATTAGCTCATGCTCAAAAAAAAATCTATCTAGTCTACTTCAGCTGCACTGTTGGAAGGTTTGGCTGAAATTTCGAGAAGACTTGTTGGGTATTTTTATCGTGTTATATTTGATATTATTTCTGTATTTGACTGGAATTCTGAGGAATTTCAGCATTAAAAAGTCGAAATTTTAAGGAAGAATCAATGGAAATTGAGTTTCAGTTCAATTATTCTATGAAAATCGATGGAAATTAGGAAAATTCAGATAAATATCCTCTTGAATCTTCAAATAATTGAAAATTCGGTGAATTTTGATGCTGAATTCTCTTATCTTGATTGAAAATTCAAGTAAGTTGAGGAATTCGTGTTTTCCTGCTTCTCAACAATTTGAAAATTCATAGAATTTGTAGTGACGTATTAAATTTCATGATTTTTTCAAAGAAAAAATCGTAGATTTAAATAGAAAAAAAGCCTGAAATACGTTCCACTGGAATTTCCCGGAATTTCATCGTTGAAAATTCAAACTTGCATGGAAAAATCAAAGTAAACTGTAATTATCAGTGCAATTATTTCATAAAAATATTCATGTCTGATATTCAAATATAGTCAAATATTCCGAGTAAATTGGGGATTTCTCGTCTACCTGCCGCTCAAAAATTTGGAATTTCATCAAATTTCCATCGAAATGTCAAATTCCATGAATTTTTTCCTAAATCAACTGCAATGTTCCTCCCCCGAGAATCACAAGCGAATTATCCCTGAAACTTCAATGTTTTTCCAGCAGTGTAACTTTTGACTGCAATGATAGGAGATATGACTGCATGAGTGTGATTTATATTAATGGCCTCATTACGATTGGGTTAAAATGTTTATGAACACGTCTAAATTTATGAACCTTGCAACGTCGTCGGGTAATTACTCTCTCTGAATTATTTCAACTTCTATTATTATACAACTCTAAAATAGCCAACATCCTCTGGCACACTTTATGCACTTTTTTTTCTGCCCTACCTGACTGTCGCTGTATTTCCGGAACTCGTAAGCTCTTTTGACGGAAACGAATGGCCGTTCGTTTACACTCTCGGCCCTTGGTCGCAGTGGACCATTCATTGATCCATTGAATTTACGACTGCTGGAGCGTTGGGGTAAAAGGGGACTTGCTGGAGCTGATGTGTGAGGTGCAGCTCTCGTTGTCTGGATGATAAAAGAGAAGTAAGGATTGTTATGGAGAGGGGAAATTTGATGTTTTCAGGGTAAATCTCTGGATTTCAGAACTATTCTTATTTTGAGAACATTTTTCACTCATTTTCACATTTAATGAATGCAAAATCATGCACGAAAAAAGCAATAAGTATAAATCGACTCTTGATTAACATTTTCTATTCTTTCTTATGGGCAATTTAATACTTTTCTATGAAACAAAAATTATAAAACCCCCCTAAATTCAGGGCATTTCATCCCCTAGAATAAATGCTCTCGAAAAAGATAGAATATAGAAAAATGGTCCATTTAGGTTTAAAACTTCATTTGAGTCAGATAAATGGAAAGCTTTCATTAAAATTTAAACTTGATGTTCATTCACGTTATCTACATCAAATAAATAGTTTTTGACATACAAACGAATGTATCCTCGACCCAAATAAGGACTTTATTAGTTAGAGATAGCACTCCACGTAATAATCTTCTATTTAGATCAAATAAATCGCTTCACCAATAAAAAAATAAATCGTTCATTTTTTTTATCATGCAATGAATAAATTATCATTGAAATAATGTATTGATATGAATAAAAAAATGTCAAATAAACACTTTTATTTGATGCAAATCCCTCAATACTCTGGATTTTATATTTTTCTTTGTTTTGAGTGCGAATTTTTTAAAATTAATAATTATTTAAGCAGGAAATAATTTTCAATCCAGTGGTAGTCTAATATATTGTGTATTACCTGTGATGCAACAGAACTCGGTATCCATATATCATCGTCATCATCCAGTACAGCTGAATCACTGGCGTAACCGTCCTGCCTGACACGGTTTCTCTGGAGGCTCCTGAGTTCACCGATAACACGATTACCAGTTTCTTGGCGCCATATTTTCCCCGGACTACGCTCGTCTCTTCGTGCAGCGAGCTTTAGCTGCTGTTGTCTCAGCCACGAGAGCCTAAACCATCGAGGATAACAAGAAAAACCGATAATACTAATGTTAAAGTCACGACGTTCGATGATGATCGCAAGTAGATTCCGCTGAATCAGATTGACTAAATCAAATAATCCAGAAATAATTCGCCGGAGCTAGGGATCGAAACGGGGACCTCTGGCTCTGTGGGTGGACACATTAACAGAATAATCATCTACAGAGATTATTAATAAATAATGTCGCAATGTTCAAAAATGGCAATTTTTCTATTATTTAATAAATCTTCCTCAAAAACTAAATTCTCTAATTTTTTTTCGATTAAAAATCATTCAGAAATCAGAAATCAGAAAAATCAGAAAATTCGATTAAAATCAAAATTTCAAAGTAATAAACATGTTCCAAAACATTTTAAACATATTCCAAAACATGTTTTTCTGGCAGGGAAAAACAAACACGTTGCCGAACAAATCTTGTTTGGGCCAACAAAATCGCTAGTTGAAAATTGGCAAAAAAGAATTTGTCTGGTTCGAATTTGAAAGACTCAAACATGAATAATTGTTCTGCTTTCGACAGCAACGAAATATTTGGCTCAAGAGGCGGATAATTCACACCAGACGGTGCCTTTTCAAGATGAAAATATCTCATATAGAGTAAAATTTATCAACAAATATTTTATCCCTAAGTTACAAGATTGCTATCATATCATTATTATTGGTCCATTGAAGGTTTCATTTCCTGTCTGTGATTATTAGACAGCCGAAATAAAAAACTACCATCCCTTGTTTCGCATGAAACAAAGATTTTTCGGGAGCAAAATACGTACGGGAGTATCAAATAACGAAGGAGTAGTGCTAGAAATGAAATTTCTTGCGTGTACAGAGCATGCAATTTTTTTTGAACTACTAAATCTATTTTTGCGACAAAAAATTTTCATTCGGACGCACTCTCTCCATATTTGGCGCAAAAAATCCTTTTTTGATAATTTTCAAAAAGCTATTTTCTTGACACAAGTAAGACTTGTTTGAGAACTTTGTCGTTTTTCTCTCAGTGTAGGGTCAAATAGGGCTAGAATGAAAGCTCTTCTTCAACCGTCTTGTCTGACACGGTTTCTCTGGAGACTCCTGAGTTCACCGAGAACACTCGTCCCTTCGTGCAGCGAGCTTAAGCTGCTGTTGTCTCAGCCGGGAGAGCCCAAACCGTCGAGCATAACAAAAACCGATAATAATAATATTAGAATCACGATGTTGGATGAGGATCGCAATTAGATTCCGCTCGATCATGGGGGGTCACTGGGGGCCCGGACTTTCCCAAGGTGCACTGGGCATACGTGCCATGTAGCCGAGGAATAATACGGGAAAATAAGGCGATCGGGGAAAGAAATTCAATGCTCGAGTGGGATGTTTTAACGATTTTAATTCGTTGGGTTAAAACATGTCGATTCTCTTTTCGGATAACGAGAACTCATTTTTTTTAGGGTTGGGGGGGGGGGGGATTTTTTTTTTTTTNGGGGGGTATTTTTTGTTTTTGTTCTACCATTGGTTATCCTCATTACTCAGTTGTTACTGGCAATCGCGTGAGCGGTTGTAACCCAGATCGGTAACGAACCCAAAACCCAGAAACAGTGGGGAAACACGACCCACGTGCGTCCCTCGCGCCAACGCCAACTGTAACACTGACGCCAGTGCGGTTTTTTCATGCTTTACTTTTAGAATGAGAACTTGATAGTTGGGGTGATGAGATTGGGATTGGATTGGGGGAGTTGGTCTTGGAATATTCTGCAGACTGTGAATTACACTTTTGAGAGAATTTAATTTAAAATTTAATTTGAAATGACTCTGGGTGGAGAAAAATTGCGAGAAAATTACGAAATTATGAGATTTTTAGTAAATTGAACATTCAAGCATACATTAACCTGATTTTTTTATTTTTACTAAAACAGGGCGCTCACTTTCGTTAATGTTTATTTCAATAATAATGCAGGAAAAATAAATGGTTTCAACAGTTTTTCAGAATGAGATTTCTATTGTTAAAAAATCATTCGAAAATCGTTATACTGGATTTTTTAAAGTGGATTAATTTTCATGGAATAATTAAATTGAAATTTACAGTTTTTATTCATTTCTCCACAAAATTTTGCATTTTAAATTACCAAAATCCGGGAATTTTCAGTAGAATTACAATGTAATGAAAATTTTCAAAAAAAATTCTACAGTTGATACTTTATTCACTCATTTTTCTCTATTGGAATATTTAGAATGAGAACTTGGTGGTTGAGTTAATGAGATTGGGATTTAATTGGGGGACTTGTTCTGGAAATATTTTTCGTTCTGTAGATTACATCGTTAAAAAAATTGAAGTTGACTATCAATTTTTAGGAAAGTAACATTTAAATCAATCTAGACAGAACCAAATTATGGCATTTCAATATTTTTATGGATTTTTATAATAAAATAATGGGAAATGTAAAAGTACCCAAAATCCAATTGTTTGTTTCATTCCTCGTAAAAATAAAAAAATAATGACTCTCTCCATAAAAGTGACTTTTCATTCGCGCACTGATTATTAAAAAAAATTGTGGAAACATGAGGAGATTTCCACACCGATTTACCCAAGTTCCGAGACCGTTCTATATTTGAAATTATGTCAGAGTGAGACGCTAAACGTCTAGAAATAACGTAAGAGTGACTAACTTGATCATCAACCTGAGAAAATCCGAGAGATCCCCGAGGGAAACCCCGGGGATTTACGTGTTATCGTCATGGCTCTCAGTTACCCAGCATAGAATTGAACGATAAATTGAATTAATGGAGAAAGTTTCGACTGCATGAAGTGATTCGAGTAGACAGAGCCAGTCAGGAACAAGTCGCCCTGTCATCGTGGCCCATCAATGTACGTACAAAATGATTTTCCACTCGTTTTATTTCACCTCACGGTTGGAGCAGGTCGAAATTTATTAATATTCGTGTCACTTTCGATTACTTCCACACGGAATAATCGAGCAATTCTGATGAAATTGTATCGAATTTTATATTCTCAGGGGGAAAAATAATAAAATGAGAATGAATCGAACGTCTCGAGTTTCTCCGATCGTACCCGCAGTGAGTCACGTACGACCGCATTTACCATTCCTGACACCGCCTGACAGAAATGCAATCCAACAATGCCGTAATCGTACCCAGTGTACCTTCTCACGGGACAATTTATTAATTGGTCATCGAGGTATGGAGTATCTTCCTTTCGGGGGAATTTTGGGGGGTTGAGGGCGCGGAGCTGTGCCTTTGCGGCGCCGAATTTGGGTGTCAGTGTGTCGAAAGAGGATTATGCAGTTTATTTCTAGTGGGTTTCATGCGTGAGGCGACGGGGTAGTGATGGATGAGATTAGACTCAAAATCCGTATAGAATCTTTAAAAATACTGGGGAGATAGAACAGAGTTTTTTGAATGGATGAATTTCTCACGGAACCGCGGATTTCGAGGGTTCTGAAATATTTTTGGGATTTCAGGAGATTTCATGAAATCTCCAAGGACTTTCACAACGAATTTCGCGAGCCACTATTAGCAAAACAATAATGATAAACCAAAAGCAATAGCTTCAGTCCTCTGAAGTTAGTATTGTTTTTATTTTATTATTACTCTTCTTCCCGACTTTATGGTATTAATTAATTTAAAGTTCTATAGTCCTTATTTATTTAATATGCGTCTTCTTAAGGATATCCAAGTACTTTAATTATTTTTTCTCCAGTGAAATGCTTTTCTACTTTTGTAGTTGAACACCAGAGCTGTCATTTGAGCCCCATTTGAGCTTCCGGACATTTTACAATGATTTTATTATTTAAATTTTGGAGGTCTGAATTTGAATTTCGATATTGAACCGTAAGAAAAGATTTAAAAAAAAAATTAAAATCTTCTAAAAACAAATTAGAAAGTTTACTTCTGGGGAAGATAATAAGTTAAAATAATTGAAAAATTTCAATTTTTGAAAACTACGAGCATTTTCTATAAACAATCAATTTTCCACCTTAAAAATCATTTGTTCGGAATCGTAACAAATTTATTCATATTCAGAATTTTATCAGAAATCTATTTCATGTGTAAAAAAATAAGGTTTGCGAAAGTTTAACCAATTGCAATTATTTATTTATAAACAACGAATGTTTAAAATAACAATTCTGTGCAAAATGTAATGGGATTGACGCCGAGTACTCATCATTATTTTCAAATTTTTCTTACGCAATTTGATTGACAAATTTGATGCTTAAACTGGTTGAAACTAGGGGAGGATGGGGCAAAACGGCCCCCCTTCAATCGTCAATATTTTCCGATTCAATAATCCGATTGGGATGAGTTAGAGCTCGTTTTGAAGAATGAAAAATTATCTTCAAAATGAAGTTGAAACTGGGAATTTTCACAATGTCATTCACAAGTTATTGACAATTGAAGAGGGGCCGTTTTGCCCCACCCTCCCCTATAATGTAGTCTATACCAAACTCTAAAAGATACTTGGAAATCCTTAATTGCCGCGCGCATTTCATAAAAACAACTTGACACTTTGCACTCACCCATCAACGTGATCAGCATTGGACTTGGCCCCATTAGCAAATTCCGGTGGTGGTTCAGGTGCAGTTGACCCCATGGGGCCATTGCTTCCCCCTGTGCTCTCCCCAAGGACCTCATCCAAGTCAACAATCGGCGCTGTCCCCCTCATAACCGCCTTCCTGACCAGTGAAGGGGATGAGAGCTTCTGGTGCTTGATCATATCCGTCGTCGCGCCATAACTGAACGGCTGGCTCGTCTGTCTCGCGTGGTACGGAATGTCCTCATCGATGAAGTCAATATTACCCCCAGGTGAGAATGACTTCTTCGACGCATCCTCGTGATTGCTGCTTCTCGACTCATTCTTGAGGGTTCCATAGTTACTCGACGAAGCGTAAGGCGGCGAGGATTCCCTCGTTCCACCGTAACTTCTGCACGAATCCTTCAGAGTCGAGTACGTTGATGTCGGATTGCTGCTGTAGCTTCGTGTCTCGTGAATGTACATTTTTTCGCCGCGATTGTTCGATCTATTGTAATCAGTCGGTGGGTCTGGCATCGACTGCAATGTTTATTAAGAACAGACGGTCAGCAACTGGGGCTACCCACATGCTGCGCCAATTGTGCGTGACCAATTCGTATTTTGACGCCTCGTTAAATAACTTCCGGCAATTAGAGGATTAAAAATTGGGAGTCGTGACTAGGAGATGGAATTTTAGATTTAGACGATGTTTTTTGGACATTATTTTTGGAATTTGTTATGAAATTCTTAGATGAAATGTTGAAAGTAAGGAACAAAATTTCATTTAGGGGGCAAAATCATTAATTTTACTGAAACATAATTTTTCAGTATTAAATTACATTAAATGTTCAATTTATTGAATTTTCAAGTGTGTATTCAATGTATTAATGGACATTTGACCACTAATTTTTGGGAGAGTGACATTAAGATTGATTTAGAGAAACAAATTATGAAATTTCAGATTCTACTGAAGATTTAATGAAGTTGATAAATTTTTTAGCAACAGAAAGGCGAGAATTTCCCATATTACTTGGATTTTCAATGAAAACATGAATATTCAATACGAAATTATGCTGAGTGTTCAATTCAAGAATGTATTTGCCTGAATTTACTTGATTTTTACAGATTTCGAGGCAATAATTAAACCGAAAGTTCCAGATTCCATGAATTTTTCCATAAACTTGTGAATTTTCAATAACAACATTTCTGGAACTTTCAGTGGAACTGTGATGTGATGACAATTTCAAGAAATGTACCGGAAATTTCAGTCAAGAAATTTTAAACAATGCGTCTCAAATAATCAATCTCTGGAAATTCTAATTTTTAGGTCCACGCGACAATGAAAATTATATAATTCCAAATAATTTTGTACTTGATATATCTGTGGTAATATATTGATTAATTCTTTTCATAGTTTATAGTTAATAAGGCGTGGAGAACAAAATATAAAGACTCGAGAATGTACACATGTGACTGCATAAAATAAAATGAAGTGAAAAAAAAAATAATAAAAATAGAAAGTAATATCTTGCACATGTTGAATAAAGGGATATTTATATTCGCATTAAACTGTAGAAAAAACATCGAGACGAGTATTTAAAAAAAAAATGAATTGAATCGATTTCGTAATACGAATGAAAAGAATTGGAAAAAAATGAGGATTACTCACCTCAACTGTCATCATCATATCGTGGAGGAGTTTGTCGAGATCACTGTGCGGGCTATCGGGCTCTGCCTCCGGGGGACTGGGTCGCTGTGGTGGTGCACTGCTGATACCACTGTCCATGGAAACTGTCAGCGGTGAACCGCGAGCAGCACCGCCTGCGCCCTGATGAACAACAGCGTAAAGGGAGCCATCAATGGGTCCACAGGTGTAGCCCAATCCCCTGGGTGAGGTTTGCACCGATGAGCTCGATGGTGGAGGTGGAGATAGTGGTGTATCTCTTCCTTCTGAAATTTTTTATTAAGATTTCTCTCTCAGAATTTTAAGGATTTTCAAAGGATATTTTTAAAAAATTGTAAGGAAGTTCGCGTCATTTGAAGTTACTGGATTGAAATTTCAAACTTTGGAAATATTTCCAGTATTACCAACAGTGATTAATAATTTATTTGTAAAAAAAGGAATGACCAAATTATTATAAAGATATATTTTTCAGAATTTTAACGATTTTTGAATAATTTTGGAATTTCAAGACATTTGCAAGAATTTTAAAGTATTTCGAAAACATTCCGGGAATGTTTACATAATTTCAGACAATTCTAAAACCAACATATTTAGATTTTACGAGTAATTTTCAATTGTAATAAAAAAATCTCGACGAAAAAGACACGATTTCTCTCACATTTCGTTAATTTTCAATTGCAGTAAAAAATCTTGACAAAAATTGTAATAAAAAAATCTCGACAAAAATGACGCGATTTCTCCCACATTTAAAACCTAAAAATTCTTCTCTTCCCTGAAGTTTTTCTCAACTCATCCTGTTCTACGACTCGGCTATTAAAATATTCAAACCACAATAATTAGCGAGAATAAAAAATAACAGTTACCCAGCATGTCGTAAACCGTGAACGACGCACTAAAAGATTCATCAATAGTTGTGGTAGCCCCATAACCATTGAAAGCCCCCATTCAAATTAATAACGACCGCAAAACCCATTCCACAAATTATCGATTCTCCTAAGAAAGGAGTGCCCCCGAGGATCGCCCCATTCCCGTTGCCCCCAGAAACTCGGATTCCATGTTTTCCCGTCAATCATCGATCTTATCACGATTAAACCTCACACGTCGTTAATCCTCCCCTCAACCCGGCCACTTTCACCGTCTTTCACGCTAGTGAGCACTCGACGTATCACGTTTTGTTGGCAATTATCAGGCGTCATTCTGGGAATGCAAGGATCAACAAGAAGCCACGATAATTAATGATCAGCGAATCTAGTTTAACGATTTTTCCCAGTAATTAAAGGGACACTCAAGGCCGAAAAAAACGAGAGACAAGAGGATGATCATGTGTGGTCAACGGTTATTACAACGTAATTCCACTAATAAGTGCTTGACATAGAGATGAAACTGAGAAAAGTGGCGGTGCTCTCTGGTATTTTTACTCTCTGAGAAAAAAAAAAGTGGGTAAAAATACGGGAGGCAAGAGGGCTTAAAGATGAGGGAATGTAAAAAGTGGGATGACTAGAGAGTGAAGCAAAGTGGCTGGTGGTAAAACGATCCCGGCGGCACTTTTGCCATTAGCCTCCTGACGTCCTCGGTGTATGCAGTCAGCACTCGAGCGATTTGCGTGAAACTACCGACCTCCACTGGAGTTAGATGATTATAATGCCATTGTATTGATTCATGAGTTGTTTCCTTCTCATCTTAAATTACGCTGTTTCATCCACTGATATTTTTCAATTGCAAGAGTTATTGGGAATTATGGAAACTCATGGACAGGCGGGTTTAAAGATTGAATTCAGGAAGTGTGTGATAAAATCGGGGAATTACTGAGCAAATGTCGAAATGTTGATTAATTAATTCTGGAATATCTCTTGAAATATTATTTCGCAATTTCATATTCCTTTTTTTTATTAACTAAGAAAGGAACGCGCGCGCATGCTTAAGCTAGTGGTTTCTTGTATTTTTTATCCTTTCATTTATTTTTGAAAATAATACAAGTAACAATAAACAATCAAAGGAACATATAATTTAATGTCACGGTTATACCATGACTTTTTACAGCTAGAATTATATTATTTCACACTAAATGATTGCTTCATGTCACAAGATAGTTAAATTGTTCCATAAAGTACCCAGAACAGAATCCATTCATTAGTTAGTCTTTGCTGAAGATCTTGGATAGACAAATCGTTTTTTATCTCTTTAAAAGAAGATATTTTTTCATTTTTCTATTTCTGTCATAATCTAGGATCTTAAGCAAAGATTATCCTTGTTCCTAGGCTTGAGGTTATCTCTGGCGAAATAAATTGCTGCAGGTAAAAATGACGGAACGCTCTGGAAAAATTCCGTGATTTTAGGTAAAAAATAGGTGGCATTTCCATAGAATTTTCTACGAAAGATACGTCATTTTTATTGAATATTTTTCTCCGTCTGATACACTTGAAATAAAATGAAAAAGTTTTTCTGCCGTGATAACTCCCCCTGTCCAATAATAGCCCCATGAAAATGCAATCAACCGCAAGATGATACGTGATACAGGGATTTCAGCTTCATCAGAATTCAATGCACGCCATTGCAGCGCGTGGATAAATCCACTCGAACAACCGGGTATTATCAATTGTTTGATCGACGTGATGTGACACCGAATGACGACTAATAATCCCGGGACCCAGATGTCCGCTGATCGGGTAATAATGCCAATGAATTGCCAAACCACAACCAGTGGAGTTGATGAAGCCGAGAGCTAATGAAATAGCGGAGTCTCTCGTCGCTGAGAGCTCTAGGAATTGTTCTTTGAAGATGCGAAATGCAAATTCCCGGGCTCCTCCGCCAATGCAACACTCGAGTGCGCCTTATCTCAGTGCGACACGAGGAGGAGGAGGAGACCTCTCTCGTGGTGGGGAAGTTGCAATGTTGCAGCTGCAAAACTTCCAACGAAAGCCAACGCCGTTAGAAGATACGCGATGCCGATATTCTCGGGCTTCGCCCTCTGGCTAATCCGTGCTCACGAATCGCGCCAATTTTATCGATCCCAACTTCCAGATACAGCTCGCACGCCATCAGGGACCATTCAACTTCCCTCATTTCATTTTCACTCATTTTTCATTCCCCCCACTTCCCCCTTCCCCTCACTCGCCCCTTCCCCCTGCCGTTTTAATGATTAATGCATGGGGAAAAAATCGGACGAATAATTACTGTCATTTATTCCGGGAGGTTTCATTTGAAATGGAGGGAGGAATACGAGGCGAGAGATGAACTTTGTAACGTAATTTTTTGGAATATTCGTAAGTTTTCGATGGGAAAGTTGAATAGAATTTCGTGGACCGTTGAATAGAGGTTTTCGGGAGAGGGAGATTGAATTCGATTTGAGAGTAAAAATGTGGATTTCTCAGAGAATTCAGCGAAATTGGAAATTTTTGAGCAGCGGGAGACGAAATTTTTTTATCTCACTTGGATTTTCAATGCTGAATTTCGAAATAATTGAAGATTTAAGGATACATTCACTTGAATTTTCATTCCAAAAAATAATGAAATTCCAAATTTTTATTAAAAACTCAATGAAATTTCAATTTTCTAAACAGAAGGAAGGCCGGAATTTTCCCAATTACCTAAATTTTCAATTAATTGAAAACTTAAAAAAAATGTACCAGAATTTTCCGGATTTTCATATTTCCCTCGAAATTCCATTTATTAATCCATTAATTCATTTTAAAAATCCACTTTTAATTCCCTCTATTCTTCATTAATCTCCACTTCATATTCTCCTCGAATAACAAAGAAAAAACGTCTCATTTCCCGATGGCAGATCGATTGGCCTCCCCCCTCCCCCCCCCTGGATTTATCGTCCACGTTTATCAAGGGAAAACGAGTATTTCTGGCCGTAAGAATTCAATGGCATAATTTATGATCAGCTCTCAGATTGTCGCGGCTATTTAACAGACGACGCTGAATAAAAAAAAAGAGTCACTCAATTTTTGAGAGATGGAGATGCTAAAAGGAGCAAAGCTATTTATCCTTCCGATCGAAGGTCATCGGCGAGGTGAATCGGTACATAAAAGGGGGAGAGAAGAGGAAAAAAAAATGATAAAATAAAAGCACCAGGGGGAGAAACGAGGTGAAGGCAAAGAGGGACTGATCGAATTATACCAGTCTGACGGCGGGGGCCTTATAGAGATTCACGAGGGTACTATTTTCGTGTATTTACACTAGTGTGAGTGCATCAATCCCTCCGTCACAGCCTCATAAATAACAAAATGCGTGAAGTAGGCGTTACCCGTTCAAATTCAGGCCCATGTACTCACATAATACTGACATTATTTGACTGATGATGTCTTGATGTTCGATGATACCCAATAACAGTCCAATTTATCGATTAATCCGGCGAATTCCCATCTCAATTCACTGACATTAGTCCTTACATTGTCACCCCCATGAGCGAAACAATTCTAATTCGACCCACTTGTGGCCAATAATCACTCAAAAGTAACCACCGTGGGAATAAGTGTGACGAGGCACTCAGTGAGCCAGCAGAAACGACACTGCAACCATCGAACGTTTGGCTCTCATTCGCGTACCACCACCACTAAAAAAACAGCAACTCGAGAAATGATCGTCATTGGGCGTGAGACTTCCTACGCAAGAAGCACTTTACCAAGTGCCAACATGCATCCAACCAATTCAAACAAATATTCCATTTAATTATCCACCAAACTCCTCAACCATCTTCAGCGCAGCCAGACAATTGACTTCCTGGATTGTTAATTTTTATTGTATCTGGTTATTTTTCTTTTTTCTCTCTCTCTCTCTCTCCCTCCTCTTTACAGTTAACCTGGAGGCGACTTGCAGAAGAGGTAAATAAACAGAGATGAAAGGCGACGAGGAGAGGGGAATCCCCTGTCTTTTACCAGTTGAACCGGCCGCCAGTCGCCAGTCCTTCTACGGCAAACCTCTGGCCAACTCTCGGGTTAGCTTGAACGATCATTGCCGGACTCGGCTGTATCTCCGAACGTCCAAATGGGCGACAAGATATTTAGAGGTTTTGCATCGAGGAGACAATATTACGATTGGATTGCTCGGGATGTCCAATGGTTGCGTGGGTGCAGTTGTTTTTTATTTGAAAAGCCAAAAAAAGACGGAAACTGCTGGTAACATTTGGAAATTCACGGACCGTTGATGAGTAATTTTTAGGAGAGTGACATTGAACTCGATTTGAGGGAAAAAATACTGACATTTAAGATTTTAATCAAAATTCAATGAAATAACAATTTTTTGAGCAGCAGGTAGAGGA